ACGCTTGTAACCATGCTGCCTGCCCAGCACCAAGCTGCATTGTACATCCAATACAACATGTATAAAGAGAGAACATTGTGAGTTTCCTTTCTCCAACCCATCCTGAGTGTGAACCAAACATCCTGAACCCCACAACTCCACTGTGAACAATAGCTGGAGCAGCCTTTACTCCACGGCGACATGATATACAGTATATAAACAACCTTCGACTACTTGAGTCGATGCTGTCGACCGATTACAATTGGGAAGCGAAAGTGGCGCATCTTATTAGATATGTATCTATGATATTACTGATTAGACCAAAGCTAAATTTGAAAATACTCATCTGACAGCTTTGTCGGCTATCCTTATTGTTTACAATTAGTATTGTTCTTTATCAATTAAAATTTTAACCTGCATGACAATGCAGATTAAAAATGAGGGGGAGACTAGGTAGAAAGTAACAGTAAGAATTTTTAGCTGTAGGATTTTAAAGTGAGGAAAGTTTGGTAACGTAACTGATTACTTATTTAACTGCACAGTATATTAATATATTCTTAGGGGAAATCTTTCTAAACACCACTCCAAGTACAGCTATTTATTATTCAGCTGTCACAGACACATTCATATATTGACATTACTCGGCAATGACTCGGACACAAACATGAAATGGATACACTTCCCACCTTAAGTAACTCACCCTAATGGATCGTTCTGACAAATGACTCACGTGTGACCTGAGGGAGGCCCATCGGCTGGGGAAACTGCAGGTGCTGCTGGACTATGTCTCTTATGGGAGACTCTGCTAGCTGGTTAGGGAAGTCTCCCTCCCGACCTCGACTTGTGACGAGCATGATAGATGAAATATTATAATACATGAATGACCAAACCACAACTTGAATTTTTGGCTTTGTGTCTGTTTATTTCAGTAAAGATAAACAATAAGAATGCCTTTTAATAGACAAAAATTCGGCGATTTACTCGATCTTGTACCGGTATTTCTCTCGCTGTTATTAATGTGTTTTCGTAATGTTTGGACAAGTCTAAGGCCGTTTTCTTCTGTGACATTTCCGCCTGAAATTAAGGATAGCCTAGATATTAATTTTTCAATATTATTAGATTTGGTCAGTCACAAGTGTCGCCATTTGCCGTTTACTTCTCACAGAGGTCTGACCAACCATCATGCAGTGCTCCTTACCTCCGTGTTGGCTTTATAAGTGTCTACAGCGCATGTGCGGAGGGGGGGGGGTTCTTATTGGCTATAGCCATAGGAGACTTATAATTGGACAAGAGTTCTTTGTCTTAGCCAATGAACAATGCGTGGGTGCGTCGGGAGCGGAGATTTGATATTTCAGTACCTTTTACTTTACTTTTAATTTTATCTGCTTCACCACTGATCGGCTCGTTATCCGCTTGGGCGATCGGTCTCGTCTCTGACTGAACAGGTGGAAAGAACTGTGCCGACATTGTGAATATTTTACGTCAACTGCAGTTTCATCAGAAAAATAGTGTTAGGTTTGGTTTAGTTGGTTTGTTGTTTTTTATTTATGTGATTTACTCCAAACATTTTTCGTTAAGATTGATGGGTAGGGTGGGGGGAGGGGATTAAAAAAAAATATTGATTCCAGCTGAAATGAATATCAAATTCGTTCGAAACTCATCAAATACCATCGGAAAAATATATTTCTAATATCCAAACAAAGACCTGTGCATTAGTGAAAGTTGACCAAGAACTCTTTTGAAAACAAGTTACAGTGGTCCCTCGGTTAACGAGCACAATCCGTTCCAGCAGGTTGCTCGTTAACCGAAAAACTCGTTAACCGAAACCATTGTTTCAATTGGTTTTTGGGTAATTGGTTCCAGCTCACCGAAAATTGCCTAAATTCAACAAAAAGGGTAGAAAAATACACTTACTTTGAGGTGTGTATGTAGAAGGCTCCTGGATGATGATGATGATGATGATGATGGGAATTAGAATGGGGGTGGAGGAGAAGGAAGAAGAGAAGTCACCCCATGGCACCATTTCACCCATAAAATTTTAGTTCTCTTGGTGTATTTCAAGATTATTTTCTTTAAATCAACACTGCACTGCATTATATATTGTCAATATGTAAAATATATTTCAAAATGACCAATAATTTACTTGGAAACACAGAAAAAAAGCATTTAGTTGAAGAGAGTCTCAAGCAAGATGTTACCTCCACTGAAAACAGAGAGAGACTAATGCTTGTCTGGTGTGTTAACAGGTTGGATGGCACGCCAGAAACTAGTTTCTTTACCTTCAATTATGTTCAATAATTGTTAAAATGACTAAAAAAGTTAATATTAAACTTTTAAAATTATTGAATAGTATAAACTTCTTGATATTTACTAAAATAGTAAGGAATTTAAGCCCTAAAACCGATTACTGTATTGGCGGACTAATACTACAGCTGGTGGACCGCCAAATGCAAGCGAAAACATGTTGAAGTCGGCTCGTAAAAAACTCGTTAATCGAGGGATTGCTCGTTAACCGAAGTTAAGTATCTTATGGAAGGTAAATCGTTAACCGAAATCTCGTTAACCGAGGGACCACTGTAATTTATTCCCCAAATTTATGTAACGGCATAACAGGTGATTCATCACTTGCAGTAATTGTATGATAATTAAGCAAGAGAAAAGATTGCCTTTTAATTTCTGAACTCAACTAAGATCTTGAGGCAGTGGAGTCAGTGAAAATTATACAGTAGTATTTTCATTCTCTCTTTATATGTATACATACATGCATACATAAATGAAGATTGATGTCTAAAAATAAATGGAAAACATAAAAAAAAATATCACTCATGACGTCACGAATAGCTTTCGGACGCAGCCAATAGATGGCGCTATTACTGAGGTATCTGGCAACTGCAGCATACACATATTTCATATATTTTAGCTGGAGCTTTCCTATCTTTAGTAGAGTAGCTTTGGAGCTGAAGGCACCTTCCCTGTTCTGTTAGTAATGCTGGTGGGAGGAGCTGCAGGCCTCTTTATATTGGAGGAGAGCCGGCAGCTGACCTCTCCTAATTAACACTAAACTGTCTTTGCCCAGGTGCGTGGTCATGTTGCTGGTCAGTAATGCTTCCTAATTATTACCACCAGGGTGTCTTGGTCAGGTGACTCTTTAACACGGTCATGATCGAGTGGCGGTGAGAACTCTGGGTAAGGTCTTAATTCCACCTTAATTACTGTAGGGTGTGTCAACTTACGAGGGTTACCACGTGGGCATCTACTTACTGTTATATGTGTTGTCTTTCTCTGGGCTGTAAGCTATGGTCTGATAAACAATCATTACACCTCCCGCCAAGACCAAAGCTTCCATACCAGAGAACTGATGACACATATACTGTAGACAGTAATATCATGTGCAGTATCTAGTATAGCCCCTGGGGCGATTATGCATCTCATATTTTACAAACAATAACCTCATAGATACTTGTATGCATGTGTTTCTACTGGCTTGGTTTGATCTGACAAAACTTAATACAATATAATAATTATATTATTATTAGTACCTGTAATTAATTCCTGTTTCCTGTTCAAGTAATCATGTTAAGACTTTGCACTGATCAGGAAAACAAACATGTATTAAGAGCGAACACTAAATCTAAGGAGAAAAGTAACAGGATAGTTTTACAATTGAGTGTCAAGTCTGAATGTAGGAGATCTCCGAGAGATGATGTGAACACACCATGCAACGGGAGAGCGATTGATTGACTGTGGTAATAACATCCCCGGTGATGCAACAGCTTATGCAATGAAAGGTAATTACTGTACTGTTTATCTACACTATTTCACTATATACCACTAACCTTTAATTTTTTAAGCATATCAAATACAATGAATATATCTTTTAAACCTCTACCATAGGCTTTACCTTTATCAAATCGGACATAACAGCACATATGACAACCAACCCCACTTGAGTTTTGTATAACATTTCCCTCTATAATGTCTTTGGGGTCTCTGTTTCACATAACACTGTTCAAATAATTTATCCATTACCATTAACTAATCCATCACTGTCTGTTACAAATATGTCAGAAAGAAGGAGCATTGGTAGCATACTTTACTAATTTCCAGTCTAACATGCTAAAATAATAACAGTAAAAGTGGTATAATCTGAGACTGTAATACTGAAAATAACTGAAAAAAAAAATTATTCTTCTTATCCTAAAAGGCTTAGTTCTGCAGGCTTTGTTTCCTTTAGGTTTTATTAGCTAACAAGTAAATGAAGGTAAAGAAAAGAAATATAATGATTTATGAACAATAATCTCATTGCTTAACATGCAAATATTGAATGCTTGGCAAGTATATTGTTTTTTATAAGAAACACACAAACACACACCAATATGTCACATCCAATTTTTACTGTGTTAAATGGATAAAGATCAGAACAAACACATTACAGAGTTAAAAATGGTGATGGTGCACTGCTCATTAAGTCTATATTGATGTGGTTTTATTATTAAACACAGTAATCATCAAAGGCACTCTTCTTCAGCTGTATGAGATGTTAAACAAAGTACATCAACAACACTTTCAAGTCAAGGGAAATTTGCCATAGAGGATGAAAGCTTTTGAAGCTTCTCCTAACAACATCAATATCCTAGAAATGTCTCAGTCATCTGGAAAGTAATTACAGTACCTTAATTTCTTACTAATACAGCTCCTCCCCGACTTACGACGGGGTTAGGGACCCAAATCAAGGTCGTAAGTTGAAATGGTTGTGAGTCGAAAATGCTTAAATAATACATAGAAAAGCTAAAATGGGTGTCATGGGTGTCTCTTTTTCTTCTCAGCACCACAAAACTCTCACTTTTAAGCTTGCCAGCCAATTTAAAGTGAATTACAAACGAAAATTTTGTCTATGTACTGTACTGACGTTGGGACTCGAAAATACGTAATTTGACAAAATTTTGGTATGACTGAGGCAGGTCGTAAGTCGAGTAGGTCATAAGTCAGGGAGGAGATGTACTTAAATAAATCATCTGTCATACTTGGGTTTGCTTTTATTACCAATATTAGTAGGTAAATAAAAACTATGGTACTTCTCACTATTTCAAGACTACCCATCTAACGTCTTACTCCCAAACACTTCAACACTTCAAATGAAATTATGAATCTTGTTTAAACTTTTGTCAATTTTACTCAAATTTACCATTAAAAAAATTAAAATAAATAATTGTTTATTAAATTACAATCAGATCTCTCCAAAATATGACATCTCATATGAAACCATTTATACAGTACTTTTGCTCTCATATAGAAGCACTAACATCTTTGCTCTTCCGATCTTCTTCCCTTTCAACACTTTATTCCAATATTCAGTTGAACCTCGGATAATAAAATCTGCTCTTCTAAATAATGCAACAATATTTACTCCAATATTCATCTCCTTTATTCACACATTTATATCTCTGCTCCTATATTTTCTGATCATTCCATCTCTGCAGGCTGTGTATATATAATTATTATCAGTTCCAATTTTGTATATGGGATCACAATCTGAGCCAGTCAGCTGGTAGGTGCTAGAACCATCCAGGCTATAGAACTGACAAATCCCATCCCGCCTTCCTGCCAGAATTCCCCCACAGTGAGGCGTCAAACTCTCAACTGGGGAGGTGCTGTGGTGGGCCAATGGACGAGTTGTAAGGCTCTGAAAAGATGAAGGAAAGCTGAGCTATAAATATTATTCATGTAAACTCTTAATTTTCTCTCTCTCACTATTTCAACCTGCTTCAGTTATAATACTGGTGGCTTCAATCAGGAGCAAACACACAATCTCTCTTCAATCACTGCCATTCATTCACTTTTATTTCTCTAATGGTTGTAGTCTTCTATGGTGTTCCTCTCAACTCGAGCCCAAACCCCTGTAACTCAAACAACCCAGCACCGGTGTTCTCAGGTCAGTCAAACACTGCTTCCTCTATGACTCTATGTCCACTACCTTAACTTCTGAGGCATTCTTACCATTATGTTCCTAGATATAGTTGGCACTGCCATAAACTCATGGTCTCATAGCATAATGTGCATAATCAGGATCAAATTATTTGCTCTTTTTATTTTGAGGGCTGTTTTTTTGAGCTTGGCCTTCCTCCTAAATATGGAATTTACAGTATCTAACTCTACTGGAATAATGACAGTCTTTATATAACAGTTTTATGTTTGAAGATTTTTTAAGTTAACCACATGACTAGGAGAAGAGTAACTTTTTTCCTCAGGTACATTAGTGACTGTAGGTGCTACTAATGGGCTTCCTTCTGATGTATCACCTCCATTTCAATCCTTAAAAAGAACATTTAAAAAATATTTTGAAGTTCTTTAATTTAAAATCAAATCTATTATGCTTGGGAGGAGAATTTAAAAAGCATCTCAAATACAGTATAAGTATAATCTCAGATATGGTTCATGATCAGCTGGCATGAACTTTGACAAGTGTTACTTTAAGGTATCCTCAAACCCCTTGTCATAATGAAGGTGTTAAAATTTTCTAGTCTTTTCTTGACTGTTTCATGGCATCAACTATCAACAAAAATCAAAGATTGATCCAGAAAATCCCATTTTATGATCAAGTCATGATTTTATTCAACAAGTCTATGATTTGCAAACCAGGTTTAACCCACAACATTGACAGTTGGCACTGATCTTAACAGTTACAGTTGTACAACTCATCTGTTGCAGCCACAGCTGTCAAAAGAAGTTTAGGGTGAGGAGGTGTATAATTCAAGGCTTAAGAGCTAATTGAGCCTTGGAGCTACTGAGAGAAATTGTGGGCAAAGTCGTAAGTATCTCTCTGTGGTAAATACCCTGTATGGGGTACAAGCACAACTGAGCTCATATATGAAGTGGGGCTGTCCAGAAAATAATGTGCTTTGAGAAGGGAGACAAACAGACTGCAGCATAATGCTGGAAAGCCAGCATAACCAATAATGGAAAAGGAAAGATGTACTGTACACGTAAGTTTCTGTAGCACCAAAACTTATTCGGCTCTTAAGCTCTAAATGGTACAAATTATACATATTTGCGGCAGCCAACAGTGTCAAGGGTCTCCTGAGATGCAACCCATAGACCAGATGTGTAAACTCATGTCTCCCTAATTTGATTTGATGGGAAAAACTCACATATGCATACACACAAAAAAAAATAAAAATGGAGGATAACACATGATGTACAGTATGAATAACCATCATTCCTACTGTGGACCAACTTAGTTACAAACTGACTATGCATGGAGGTCTGACCCCACCTGCAGATACTAAAGTTTACTGCACATTTCATAAATAACTACAAATATGTGATATAAACACTCACATACACTGGAGCACAAAATTACAATCTCCATACTGACCACTGCATCAATGACCACCAGTCGACCATCACTGAGTCCCGCAACTCCTTGTGTAGAGGTGGCCCAACACACAGACAGGACTGTTGCACCAACTGAGAATGAGCCCATGAGGGAGCGGCTTTCCACTGCTACAAGGTAAACGGTGGCCTCTTCACAGCCCACAAGTAGCACCTTCCCAGCAGAACAATGCTCAAGCTCATCTGTGGTTTGTAAAGCAAATAGCATTATAAAAATTATAAAATTTTAACTGAAGTTGAAAGATGTCTTACATCTGTTTTGTCTTCTGACTTTCCTATTGGTATGAGGAGTCCACCCAAGGAACTATGGTATTTGTCTTGACTGGAGACTAAATAAAAAATAAATTATTAAATATTTTAAATATCCAGGCTGCTCAGATTGAAAACAGGAAATCATTCATGAGAATATATAAAAGATTTCCAATATGTATTCCAAATTACTTATGTCACCATCCAGCTTGGGAGGCAGAGAATGATATTAGCCAAATTCCCAGTTCATAACCCTGATAACTAAGACTAGTACGTAGCTAGAAACATCACCTAAGTCACAATAACCCTTTCAAGAAACATCTATGTAGTAGTTTAACCCTTGGTGTACAGGGGTCTCTCTGTGCTGAATAAAATTAGGAATTAACCAAATAAAATAATAAAAGTGGTGTTCTGAAATGAAGGGGTTAATAGGTTTCAGTATAACTGCAAAAAATACAAGTGTCATCTCTCTAGGTCACTGGACCATAATACATGAAAAGTAGAAATTTCTGATACACAAGGATGAATACTCGTATTTCTTAACTGTAGGGAGTCATGAAGTTGTATTTTCTGGTATTTGTAATAAAGATAGTTCTAAGGATGGTAAATGTGAAATCAAAAGTACTTTCTTATGTGAACTTTGGCCTTAAACCCAGAATATACCCCCTCCTCCCCCCCAGCACTACCTGTATTGGTACAGTATTGCCCAAAACATTTTATACCTAAAGATTCTACTTGAATCGGATTCTATACCTATCAAATTATTAATCATCCCCATTAAAGCAAATTAAGGTATAGAGCAAAAACCGTAAAATTTTCATTTTATTTGACATCATAAACTGAATCCTCTTATCACACTTGCATACTAAAGTCAGGTTTCCTCTTCAGCTATCTATATAAATCCTTCAGTACTGCCTTCCTTTACTGTCCAACATAAATTAATAATTCTCATAATCAAAGGACCTCAAACAACTTATTTCATTCTTGTCTTCATATTTACTACTCACTAAATTGTAAACTGGTTTAGCTTTTAGAAATTTAGATAATTAAAATGTTAAGACTGAACATACAGTACAATACTGTACCTGGAACTTCTGCAGGTGTTGGTAGGTTGATCACCCCGGTCACATCACTAATGGCACAGCAATTTATGATGGACTCAGCCTTCAGGAGAGTGGCAATACACTTGGCCTGAGCACAGTTCCAAAGTTTAGCTGTTCCATCTCTGTGGATAATCAAGAGGCACAAGTTTGCTGGTGAAAAAAATACAAACCCTTGAACCCTTTCACTGCAACAGGCTTAAGACCTAACACACACTTCCTTTGAACAGATTTTCGGAAGAAAAATGAAGTTTGATTGTGCCACTTAAAACTAATTAGGAGCCAATTGTTTATATATCAGGTAATCACATCAGGAGCCAGGGAAACAAACACACCAGTTATGATATTTACTACGCAACATTATTCTTCCCTCATCTCTGAGCAAAGTGTGAGTCACTTCCTTCATCACCAGTTGTGCATCATGAGCAACAAGGTCTTTAAATAGTCTTATAATTTCATGTTTCTTCAATTTTAAGATGGAGAAATTACCACATATTTGAACAAGAGAAATTAGTTACTGTATGTAGTAATGTTCACAAACTCACTTGCTAACAGAGATGATGTTTTTGCCACGATCCACAATAGCTGTGTCTAGGACAGCCCCTGTGTGTCCTTTAAGCACCACAGGACATGCTCCTGTGACTGCATCCCAAATGCGGAGCTGCATGTCTCCACCACCAGAGAGCACCACGAGGCCAGAGGGAAACAGACTACATGTATACACATCAAAAAGATGACCTTCTAGGACTCTCTGCAAAGATAAGACAATAAACCATTAACATTTCTGCTCTACAGCTGTGGAAAACATTCCACTAACCATACACGTACCTGGAGTTTCCTGAGAAGTAAAAGAATACCATAATCTAACTTTGTACTGAACATTTCTGGCTATAAAGTACACTTTCTAATACAACTGAACCTTGTGTTTAGAACTCTCTGTGGTCTCTGAATCACAAGAGGACCATAACCATGCCTAATAAATGCTAATGATATGTTTCTCTCAATGGTCACTAACAATAAGAATAGAATAAAAAAAAAAAAAAAAAAAAAATGCAGGAAACATTCCAAATAAACAGTATATATATATATATATATATATATATATATATATATATATATATATATATATATATATATATATATATATATATATATATATATATATATATATATATATATATATATATATATATATATATATATATATATATATATATATATATATATATATATATATATACATATATATATATATATATATATATATATATATATATATATATATATATATATATATATATATATATATATAGTTTTACTTATACGCGGTCAGGTGAACCCAGAGGGTTGCGTTAAGTGAAATCCGCGTTAAGTGAACAACAGAACATATGGGATTAATTCAATAGAAACCGGCCTGACCCCAAACTCCACTTTTGAAGGCACATACCTATGTTGTAGTAAAAATAACATCTTAATTTTATGATGGTACATGCACACAATTAATACTTAAGAGAAATACAGTCGCCAAGTTAATGTCCATTCAAATAATGGACTCAAATCCCTCCCTCTCTCACACTACACTTGCTGGCTCTTCCCTCTCAGAGAAATTTTTGGGGGAAAACCACTAAATTTTAATAAATAATACCTCAAACTAAAGTTAGGATAATACAATTGACATTGCTGGATTCCTTGTAAGACCAGGAATATTTTGAATATAAATGTCATATATTTTGCACAAAAGATAACATAGTTACCTAGAGAAAAATGTTTATCTAAAATTTGTATGTTTAATGAAAAATATATGATGTTTATATTCAAAATGATCACCAAATTATAAGAATTCCAGCAATGTAAATTATATTCTGACCGGGTAATTTGTATGAATTTTATGAGCTAAAACAAATATCTTCAGTTAATAAAAAAAAAATAACCTTCACAACACTATCTGTCAATCAAAGTACCCCACCTTGCCTCCCCCCCTCTTCCAACCGTGTGGTCAGTCCCAACCCTCCCCCCCACCCCCCACCAATCCTCCCTTCCAGGGTTTTTAACATTTAGTATTAAATAATACCTCAGATTAAAGTTAGGATAATATAATTGACATTGCTGGATTCCTTGTAAGACCAGGAATGTTTTGAATATAAATGTCATATATTTTGCACAAAAGATAACATAGTTAATTTGAGAAAATTTTTATCTAAAATTTGTATGTCTAATGCAAAAATATGATGTTTATATTCAAAATGATCATCAAATTATAAGAATTCCAGCAATGTAAATTATATTCAGACCGGATAATTTGTATGAATTTTATGAGCTAAAACAAATATCTTCAGTTAATAAAAAAAAAAATAATTCTTCACAGGGTAACAGATGGTCGGTCGGTCCCTCCCTCCCCCCCACCCCCCACCAACCGTCCCAAGGAGATGTGTGGGATAACCACTAAATTTTAATAAATAATACCTCAAACTAAAGTTAGGATAATATAATTGACATTGCTGGATTCCTTGTAAGACCAGGAATATTTTGAATATAAATGTCATATATTTTGCACAAAAGATAACATAGTTAATTTGAGAAAATTTTTTATCTAAAATTTGTATGTCTAATGCAAAAATATGATGTTTATATTCAAAATGATCACCAAATTATAAGAATTCCAGCAATGTAAATTATATTCTGGCAGGGTAATTTGTATGAATTTTATGAGCTAAAACAGGCAGTCAGGCAGGGTGGGGCAAATCTAAAAATAGCATCTCGAGCCGGACACTCACCGCGTATATGTGGAAAAATCCGTGTTAAGTGAAAGTTCAGCTCTGGCGAGGCACCGCGTATATGATAAAACGCGTTAAGTGAAACCGCGTTAGGCGGGGTAATACTGTGTATATATATATATATATATATATATATATATATATATATATATATATATATATATATATATATATATATATATATATATATATATATATATATATATATATATATATATATATATATATATATATATATATATATATATATATATATATATATATATATATATATATATATATATATATATATATATATATATATATATATATATATATATATACTGTTTATTTGGAATGTGTATATATATTGCAGAACACAAGTGTTCTGCAATATCCAACATTGTTTCCCCTACACTAAATGTCAAATTATATTAACAAATACCATAAAAAATAGAAACTGCTATTATTCACAAGGGAAGGTCTCAGGTCCTTCAAATTGTATAAGATTTTTGTTTTCAGAGTAACAAAAACTTGTTTAATAACATATAACGAAAGCCTATAAACACAGAAGTAAATCACAGCAGGAAGTACAAGTCATTCAAAAGGAAACTAAAAAATGATGACCATGCATGATCTGGTCTTGTACAGTACAGTATGTACAAAGAGAAAATGGGAAAAATATGACATCAATGGAATACTATACAGTAATTATAATGAGTAGAGACAATACTTCTTAGAAAAGAAATATTTCACATATACACTAAAGGGGGTCCCTGACTTACGAATGAACGCCGATACGAACGGGGTTAAACTTGAAATTTTCAGTATTTTATTTACCTGATGACTTATTTTTTACCTTTCTTTACTGTATTTTGTCATTCTATTTCTTCTGTCTTAAATTAAATGATTTTAGATGTATATAAGGAATTAAGCTATGATATAGTGGGATTTTATACAGTGTAAGTACAGTACGGTACAGTATATACATAGCACGTGTTCTGACTTAAGAACGTCCTCAGAAACGAAACCCGTTCGTAACCTGGTGACCCCCTGTACTGTACTAAAGCAACGACATTCAAGGCGTGATCGATTGAGAAGTTTTTTATCACACAAACTAAATATCTGACCTTGGTGAACCCATAATTGAACTTTATAAATCCTAAATACAAAAAAGTGTATCATATCACTATACTGTAGTGTACAAGGATGACTGTGAATATTCCATAAGAATTAAACAACTACCCTTTTTCTTCTTAAAGAACACTTACCATGAGAGTGAGCTCCTTTCACCATAATTCAGCCAGGGGGAAGTGTTTAATTAAAAATACCAACTCTTTCATTTCAGTTGAAATTTTGGCATCATTAAGGATAAAAAAAATGGGATTGGGGGAGCTCAGTTCTGCATTCCCATATTATGAGTGAGAATGGAATGTAACTCATGAATTACTGAGTTCATTAATCCTTTATGATAAAAATCAGGTTGTCAAGTTTGGGTACAGAAGAAAGGTGCTGCTGAAACAGCTACTGTATCTTTAGTCAGTTTGTAGAAAAAAGGTTCTTCTTTAAGATGGTTATCATCATTTAAGAATTACAAGTCACTGAGTCATGGAGTAAGTGCATAGTGGGTGGTCAGTTGACCACAACAGGTGTGCGATGTAGATTAAGCACACACTCTTCCTTTGTATATCATGTAAAGTTTATCAATTATTAAGAGTTTCTGTAGGAAAGGTTTTCTTTTGGGAGGCATGGCTGTAAGAGTAACACAACATTATTTAAGGATAAGTATGGATCATGAGTGTTGTGACTGCATATGTCTGGCATGTACACATGCTACATACTGTATCTTTCAGCTGTTATATTATTTCATTTATTGTATAGTACAACTACAGTAGAGTATTATATATTTATTAAATATTATTGTCACATTACTTGTTTATTTACTCAATATATTCACTGCAATGTGCATAAATTTTGGAGCATCAGGATAAGTGTAACATAGGCTGATGCACCATTAATTATATCGATCACCTATTTAACTGGTATTTCTATCATCTGGCTCTGGTAAATGGCAAAAATATGATAGAACAGAATACAGTAGTAATATTAGAACTTGTTCCAGTCTGTCATAGCAGTAGAGAAGAAAGTGTTTTTCAATAAACCGCAGACACCAGGTACCATAAAATTATGTTCACTCCCTGCCAGTTCATATCTCGAATCCTTGCAAAGTTTGTTGTTAAATACTCTGGGAACAGCCCATTGAAAATTTTGTAAGCATGATTCTGCCTCAGTTACTTCACTCTATCCATCACACTTGACATGTTCAGTGTTTGAAGAAGTGATTGTTTCCTTAATTTTGTCTGATGCTGAGTGAACATATCTAGCTATGATTCTCACAACACAATTTCAGCTACGGGGTTGGGCGTTAATTTTGTGCTTTTGTTTAAACCGACCTGTTTGGTGCATTCTTACTCTTCAGTTCATGCTCATTATCACACATTCACTGAACTACACACCCCAAGCACTTGTTTATATCACACCTAGATGTTGAATAGTGTGATGCTTTGCTGTGTTACCTTACCGAGTGCAAGTTGTACTATTGACCATAAACACTGTGACGAGAATTTATAACAAGAACTCAGCCTAAAGAAAAATGCATACTACAGTACAGTATATATAACATTTTGCCACTCTGCATGAAGCTGCCCCAACTTGACACACTACAATCTTAAGGGGGTGAGCAGGTTAGCTTGTTAGTTCTTAAAAATTTCCATTTGTATATTAATACTGTACTACATTATGTCACTGTACAGCACTTGTTTTTTATGTTTAATGGAACTTGGAAAAAATCATAAGATAGTCATAAATGTCAACTTCAAATGGCTGTAAATGGTTTTATTTCATGCTTAGGAAACACTCCCACACATACAGGAAATTAGGATTTTCCAGACTAGCTTTCCCTTCAGTTAAACCAGTTATTGAGGATTTACTGCAACATTAGAAGTGTAATCCCATAAATACCTGCCTCAGAAACTAGCACAAAAGGAGATGATAAGCTACCTCATTGTTGTTTGGTCAGGAGGTCATATTAATAAGAATTCAAGGTGAAGCAGGGACACGCTTTTGAGCACCCTGGGGAAAGAAGTGAATGGAGGCAAATGCACAAACAAAGGCAAATGACTCGGTGATTCATATACTGTACTGCAAGAGAACCCCTATAGACCCAATTAGAGCTGTAAATGGAAGTGTTTAGACAGTACCTCATTGCTCTAACCAAAGGTGACAACATGGGCTATGGCACGATGGTTTAGAGAGCTCTGTAAATCATGTTATTCATAAAGTCCATAACCATAAAACATAACATATGAGCTTACTCTGACAAGTCCTGATTTAGTTTCCCAAACATGCAGCTTGTTTTCTGTAGAGACTGACACCCCCAGTCCTCCATTAGCAACATCAAGACACAGTACCTGCAAGGGAGACAATTGGTTAGTTCAAGAGTTTTACAATACAGTACCAAACATATATAGTACCATACATATAAATTATGATAGTACCATACATATAAATTATGATATACTGTACATATACTGTATCACACTTCCATCTTTGTAACTTATCTATGAACATCTTATTACAGTACTTGCTACAGAAATCAGTTTGTCATGATGTACTCAGGATCTGTTAGTAAAGTACAGTATTCAGGTAATACTTTTGCCAAGTAATCAATTAACACACACTTTCGGCAAATAAACAAGTTACTCATGTGATTAATGTCAATTTTATAGGGTCCCTTCACCTTTTTCTTATTCCCTAATAAACACATTTAACATTCAACTGAATTCTCAGAACAATATTTCATTACCAAGCAATAATGTTATTTCTACTTGTGTACAAGTACTGTATAACCTTTTTCTTCTCTATTTTCAATTTCTTTCTGTTCTCCCCCCCCCGCCCCCCAAGCCCCATTGTGGGTCGTTTGGCCTGTGTCTGGGTGGGCTAATTCCCGTAAAAAAAAAAAAAATCAAGAAAATAAACAGTACAGTGCAGTATGTATTTTCATTTAACTTTTGGACACACTGTTCAACAGCAGCCAAACAAATCATGAACACTAATGGATGCAGTGTTTGACTTTCTTCCAAATCTGTTAAAATACAGTACTACACATCACTTTGTTGGAGAAATTTTCAAAACTTCCTCTCCTGCATGGCAGATGACAGACCCAGTAACTGTTACCATACAGCAACGACCTCACTCAAATAATGACTCACTTAACATGGATCAGCAACATGAACACTTTCACCAGATAAGAAGACAAAAGGCCTTTGAAATGAGGTGCTAAATGATACTGTAAAAGATTAGTTATGCTGATAAACAAACAAAGGAGGTACAGTACATGTTTAGGAGATACTGTATGCTGAAATATATTGAATAAAAAAGTTAAATACTGTACAGTAATGCACTCTGCCAAGTACAGTAATGAGGGGATACTGGTAGAGATATTAATGGATAACATTGAAGATCGGTTAAGTTATTATTGTTTTATATAAAAAATCTGATAGGATGCCCTAACAAGCTGTTTTAGGGAGGCTTTTTTAATTAATCTTTCCTTCACCAGTAATTAAGGATTTTTCTTAATCCTTCTTTTTGATGACACCTTTATGATTATGACAGGTTAAGCAGTCTCTAGAACAAATTGTTAAGACCCTTGGAGCCTGTCTCATCATTTACATATTGTAGTTGTTATCAATTAAGGTAGTCTTCCCCCTCACTCAGCATCAGGGAAAAGCATTTTAGAAGTGCCTGTCTTGAGACACAGATCTGGTTTTATTTCATTTGGTCCATCTGTGGAATGGACAAGACTGAGACTGAGTATGAAGTACTTGGTAATAAATGACTCCTTTTTGAATGAAGCAGATTAAAGTCTCTGCCTGGAAATCCACAGTCACTTCTCATAAGTTATTCTGAGCTGTAAAAGGCAGCATCTTCCTATATTTCTGTGACTGAACAGTTTCAATATTAAACTCTGTTCTTCCACTATGACTATGGAGCTTACACGCATTACTTATCCAGCATGATTGCACAGGTCACATTGTCTATGCTCACAGATGCCTCAAGGCCTTGCAACTTCTTCGGCTTTCCCGAGAAGAATGCCCATGAAGTATGGGATATTATAAAAAGAGGTGCCTGGTCATTGGCTTGTACCTTTGTATGCTATTACAATGGAACACAACTTGGCCACCATACTGGATTTGTAACCAAACTGTCATAGCGCATCTTGAGAAATAAAACGCAGCTACAGAAATACAGTACAGTACGGTACATTTATTTAAGACTAAGATTAAATTTTTTTGCAATACAGTACTACTTAGATGTGCATGTAAACTATTGCCATTAATACAATACTGTACAGTATAATGTATATATGCAAACTTACACAAATCATAATACTGTAAACAAGTATTGATATCCCTGTTTGCCGGAATAATTGGTGCAGAGCTCTGCCGGGATGAGAGATTTCTGGGTAACGAGACGACTCTCAAAGTCAGAAAAATCCTTCAACCCCGGAATTTTTCCGGGTAATGGGAAATGTTTCCTAGTCTCAAAAAAAAATTTAACAACTGGGAAAAATTCAGGAGGGAAGTAAAAAATATGAGGATTCTGTGCTCCAAGTGGGCACCTCTATTGTAACTTAATACCCCTATACTGTACAAGGTTTAGGGCAAAGATAAACATCTGCTAAGGTAAGGGACACCATGTTTAAGGGTGTACAGCATATCTACAGAATACAGTAAACCTTCGATAACTCGGCACATATGGGGCTCTGGCCTTGCCAAGTTATCCCAAATTCCGATTTATTACGGCATTTTCCCCCTCCTACAATAAAAAATTATTGACCCATATATGTGTACACAGTAAAAAAAGTTTCGCCACCACGAACGAGGGATAGTGGAATAGTATGTGTGTTTGTCCTGTATTATGGTGATAGTCCTGCTGTCCTTGCCTGAGGGTGTCCTCACATATCTGTTGCACATATCCTGCCGTATATATAGTTGATGGTATAACTGAATATGAACACATCAGGTGATGTATGGATCATTATGGAAGTCAGCAGACCCCCCCTGTGCCATATTTTTTTTTACTGACATATAATTACTAAATGTCAAAAAGTAACACTTATCAGCAATGCAGGCAAAGAATGAAGCATCATAGTAGGTGACATAGAGGAATGGTAGGTGACACAGAGGAATGGTAGGTGATGCAGGTGGCCAGATGTGCCGAGATTTTCCCAGATAATTTTATATCTCACGGCATTTCCCAAGTTATACTATAATACATTCCGAGACCATATCCATGCCGAGTTATATGGAAATCCGAGTTATCAAATGCTGAGTTATCGAGGGTTTATTAGACGGTCATTTCTGTTAGAACACGATCGTTGCGTTCTTGTGAAACTTCGTGCTGTAGAAATCCACGCAATAAAAATAACAGGGCTTATGGAGAAAAATAGGGTTAGGTACATATTACTTTGGCCGTGATCTCACAGATTTGCTAGCACCCAAGCTTGTTCCAACAATAATGTTAAAGCCTTTTTTTTACATTCGCCACCGGCAATTCGATTACCAGAATGCTTCTTGGAAACTTTCTTCTTACCTTGTCTTTCCATACTCTTGGCTAACACAACAAAATTGGAGAAAACGGCAAAAATCACAGACACTTCACAGATCAATTGACAGAAACTGCACGATTCAACTGATCACATGATGTAAACACAGAGCGCTGGTGTAAACCGTTATTAGTCCTCACTGTGAAACATTCTTTTTACTTATTCTTTTCATACAGAATTTATGGGTAACAGCTAAATTTGCAAAAAAAAAAAAAAAAAAAAATTACATAGTACCTCTCAAAACACACCTCACAAACAAAGCACACGAATCAATTGAACATGTGATGTCGAACGTGAACTGTAAACATTGCATAACCCCGCGCCACGCTACACTTAAAACGTTGAGGATGGAATCGTGTTATAGCCAACATTAGTATGCAAAAGTTCGTGATTTACAAACAGCGTTCCCCTATTCATCAATCGTGTTACAACCAATTCGCGTTGACAAAACACGCGTTGTAGCAGAAATGACTGTACAGGTACCTGTATGTACTTGAAATTGTTTAAATTCCAACCAATCTTGTAAATAGTGTAAATATATGTACTTTGACATTATTTTAGGGTTCAGTACCAGCACAACATTGTGTAGTGGTAGGATTGAGATGGCATATGTGTGGTAAAACTGTACTGTATAAATTTGCACCTTACTTGATTGCATACTATGTCCAGTGCCGACTCCTAAAATAATGCGCAATTTCAGGAAATTTTTGAGATACTTTTCCTGGTGCTGTACCCAGAAAAATTCCAAGGATGGGGATTTTTTTCTGGATTTGAGAGTCGTCTCGTAACCCGGAAATATCTCAGTCCCAGAAGTGTTCTGCACCAACTGTTCCAGTTAACAGGGATATCACTGTAGTGTTTATTTTCCAGGTACAGACCTTCAAATTACGATATAGTAATTGTCTTTTGGATGCCAGAGGCAACACAGGGGTATAGTTGTAGCCAGAAAAGTGGAGTGCAGTAATGTAATGAAGCACTACTTTCAATCTGTCTTAACACAATGGACAATTGGTACCAAATTCAGGTATATTTTATTGAGTTAAAAGTGCTTAGAGTTTTGAGATTTCCAAAGTTTGGAGCCAAGGATAACCAATACAATGGATTGCAAGTCTGTGCTGAATATTTTTTAAGCTAAGTACAGTACAGTATACAGTGATCCCTCGGTTAACGAACGCCTCAGTTAACGAATTACCTTCCATAAGAATCTTCAATTCGGCTAATGAATTCCTCTCAACATGTTTTCGCTTGCTCACCAGCTGGAATATTAGTCCGCCAATACAGTAATCGGTTCTAGGGCATAAATTCACTCCCATTTGAGTAAGTATCAAGAAGGTTGTACTATTCAATAATTTTCCAAGTTTTATATTAATTTTTTTAGTCATTTTAACAATTATTTAACATAATTGAAGTACAGGAAACTAGTTTTTAGTGTGCCAAACAGCCACTTGACTCACCCAGCATGGCATCAGTTTGTGTCTCTGCTCAGTGGAGGTAACATCTTGCTTGAGACACTCTTGAACATAAACTATTTTTACATTTTTACAGTACAATTATTGATCATTTTGAAGTTTATTTTACATATTGACAATATATAGTGCAGTGCAGTGTTGATTTAAAGAAAATAATCTTGAATTACACCTAGTGAACTTAAAATTTTATGGGTGAAATGACGGCATGAACCATGGGGTGATTTCTCTTCCACCCCTACTTCCTTCTCTTCTCCCTTCTCCTCCACCCCCACTTCTAATTCCCATCATCATCATCATCATCATCATCATCATCATCAACCAGGAGCCTTCTACATACACACCTCAAAGTAGGTGTACTTTACTGCATTTATTTTTACGTTGTATGTAATTTTCGGTGAGCTGGAACCAATTACCCAAAATCCCATTGAAACAATGGTTTCGGTTAACGAACGACCTTCTGGAACGAATTGTGTTCGTTAACCGAGGGACCACTGTAGTACAGTACAGTGCAGTATAGTATAGTATAGTATAGTATAGTATAGTACAGTACAGTACAGTATAGTATAGTATAGTATAGTATAGTATAGTATAGTACAGTACAGTACAATACAGTACAGTGCAGTATAGTACAGAACAGTACAGAACAGTATAGTATAGTACAGTACAGTACAGTACAGTACAGTACAGTACAGTACAGTACAGCACAGCACAGCACAGTACAGTACAGTATAGTATAGTATAGTATAGTACAGTACAGTACAGTACAGTATAGTATAGTATAGTATAGTACAGTACAGTACAGTACAGTACAGTACAGTACAGTATAGTATAGTATAGTATAGTATAGTACAGTATAGTACAGTACAGTGCAGTACAGTACAGTATAGTATAGTATAGTATAGTACAGTACAGTACAGTACAGTACAGTATAGTACAGTACAGTACAGTACACAGGTTGACAATCCCTTATCCGAAATCCTTGGGGCCAGAGGCATTTTGGTTTTTGGAATTTTTCGGTTTTCAGAATGGTTAGTTTTTTTTTCGTTTTTTTTAATGTGCATTAACCCACCCGGGCATAGATCACTGACCCACATTGGGGCCTGGGGGTCGAAAATATAATAAAAATTATAATAATAATTATAATTCATAGGTCTAGGTCGTGTTTCTCACTTTTGATCTTTTTTTCATTCTTGTATTTCTTTACTGTATTAATATTATTTTATTATTACAGTATTATTGTTATTATTATTATTATTATTATTATTATATTTTATTATTATTTTTATCATTATTATTGTAATCATTATTATTTTATTTTGGTGTATTTTTATTAAAATTTTTATTTACTATGAATAATTATTATTAATATAATTATTATTACTATTACATTTTTGCCCCCCCAGGCCCCAATGCGGGTCAGTGATCTGTGCCTGGGTGGGCTAATAATCCCTGTTTATAATAATAAAAAAAAAAAAAAAAAAAAAAAAAAAAAAAACCCTTTCGGTTTTTGGAATTTCGGATAAAGGGTTGTCAACCTGTAGTACAGTACAGTATAGTACAGTACAGTACAGTATAGTACAGTACAGTACAGTATAGTATAGTACAGTACAGCACAGTACAGTATAGTACAGTACAGTATATTGTAGTATGTAGTACAGTACAGTACAGTACAGTACAGTACAGTATAGTATAGCACAGTACAGTACAGTATAGTATAGTACAGTACAGTACAGTATAGTACAGTACAGTACAGTACAAACATTAATGTTACTGTATCATATATGAAGGGATTTACACATTTGTCATGTGTCAGATTTTAAGAAGAGCGCATGACTTAACACTGCCTAAACTCAGAAAAAATTATCCTAATTTCTGTAATCATCAGCTTTTAACTTAACAAGATTTACTTAGACCTGAATGCAATGGACAAATTGTTCTTTTAATAAACTTGCCTTTTATCAAGAATTGTGACTTAATATTTTTTCTGGTCTAACTTTATCATTAAAGGTCAGCTGTAAGCCTGTCTAGTCTTGTTTCCAGCCATAGCATTATGTAGGCCTATTTTTTTACTTAGCCTAGCAGTTTATGCATCACTTGGTTACCCCTTTAAAAGTTCCCTGCTCAGTATCTTATTTAGCACCATTCCTCCATACAAAGTTCACAGTATAAGTGAAAACACACTTTAGTGATCTGTGATATAGTGTTAATCTACTGTACAGTATTTGGACATGTCATCATTGATAGACTGTGTAACAGCAGTATGTCTCTCAAGATAACTGTCACATTAACTGTTGGAAAATTTAGTCCCACCTTCTTTCGGTTTTATCTGGCTTCAGGGCAACTGGCTATAAATGAAGAATTAATCCTGAAATTCTAATTTATACCTAAACCTGGAACTAGGCAGCTCAAGTTTCCCACTTCTCTTGCAGCTTAGTGTGAAAGTACATTATGATGGGAACGAATGGGGATGGCAACTAAAGAATTAAGAAGTCAAGCTTGGAATGAAGGCAATGCACACACAAGCATACTGTATGTCCGGTACTCACCAGGTCTCCTCTCTTTAATTTACCTGTGAGAAAACCTTTGCTTCCTCTTCATCTCAGGGTAATGGTTAAGGTACGAGACAATAGACTATTCGTAAGATTAATCCCAGTCACTGACGTCAAGTCTCTTGGGTCTGCAGATGATGAAGTTTGGCGACAGCAGTCATCCACTCTAAATGTTCTCGGGCTGTTTTTTTTACAAATCCTCCAAGGATTTGTATCTCTCTGGATGACCCAGTTTTTTATTTCATTCATCCATTCCTGTCTCTGCCTTCCCTTGGCCCTCCTACCCTCAACTTTGCCCATTATTATTTCTGTTATTATCCCCTCATTCCTAATTATGTGCAAAGTATCTAAATTTTTTTCTGTACATTTCATGCATTTCTCTTGAAGTTCCTGCCAATCTTAGCACTTCTTCATTTGTTTTCCCTTCAGTGTAGCTTATTCTTAGCCATTTAATAAAGAATGACTGTCACACATCTTTTATTTGTTACTGGTTACCCCACATTCTCAAATTTCTTCAAATTTTCAATTATCTTAGTATAAAGTATCTCTATGAGACAGTTAGATCAATACTGTAAAGAGAATGATTCACACACCATTTAAGACTTGAAATAAAAATGTGGTGAGAAACAAGTGTTTAGGCAAGATTCTGCCTGTAATTCGCTTCCTGCAAATACTGTACATGTAATAGCCTGTCTACAGATAGACAGTAGTTCTTATATAAATGTGGGCTAATTACATATTGTTTATACATACATACAGTACAACACACTACCTCATCATTTCCTGTCACGTTGCAGATCACATTCAGGTCATCTCCATGGCCCAGTAAACCTGTTAACTAAGCAAGTAAGTTATCGGCTGGTAGAGATATCAAGGCTGTACAGCACACATCTAGACGTGTGACTGACGGCTCTAGCCCTGAGCCTAATGTAACATCTCGTAGCCATGTGTTCATTAATCCGTAGATAAACTCAACAGACTGTGATACACTATAACTATATTTTTATAATAAATAGAAGTGTTTACTTTGAGCATTAACACTTTGAGATAAACTTCAAATATATTAGCTGTTACTCCTCGTGAAACACTAACAGGAAGTAATATCAACAAATAACAGAAACAAGAGTGAAGCCATAGTGCAGTGACCAGCTTTCACTCTAGTTCAAAGTGTGACAGCGGTGAAGATTACATGCTCATATAATTCTTACCACAAAGTCACATTAAAGTGCTCCCAGGTGGATAACCAATTATCCATGCCCAGAACATACAGGGAAATACTAAAATAGGATACAAATATGTGTTTATTAGTTTACCTACACTTTTAGAATGAATATTGTTGAATGTTGCTATTGGTGCTATAAAAACTGTGGAGAGTCCAGATGGCTGGTGTGTGACAGAAATGGTCCGTTCAGTGCGAGAGTGTACGGTGAATACTGCATCAGTTGACAATCCACCGACCTTGCCATATACTGCTTTTTGCCCGAGAGGCTTGTGTAGAATCCAGGCTGAACTATCATTGTCTCTGAAAGTAATGTAAAATTACAAATTCCCGAATGCCACATACTGTATTGCCGCAGCATTATAATTTCACCCAAGAATCAAGTAGTGAACACCCTTTCCAAGGACAGACTTCAACAAAATACCCGGCAATAATTTATAATGTAACTGTCAGCCGAAAATCTACTTTATGAAATAATCTACCCAGTAATTCATGGAAGATCTGAGCATTCTAAATATGAAATTTAAGAATATTGAATACAGTACAGTAATTTTATTTTATTTTAATATGTCACCAAATTCAATCTAATCTATCATTTCACCACTTATCAACTTACTAGCTGTTCCGATGGTTGGTTTGTTCGATTTTACATATCTCTGTTAGCCAGAACAATTGGTGCAGAGCACTGCCAGGAGTAAGAGGTTCCAGGTAACGAGACAACTCTTTCAAAGCTGGAAAAATCCCTCATCTCTGGAATTTTCCGGGTAATGTTCTCGAAAGTTCCAGAAATTGTGCATTACATCATCTCTCGAACCCAGAAAAATATCCCCCAACCCCGGAGTTTTCCGGATACCGAAAATTTTTTCCTGGAATTTCCAGAAAATGCACCTGATTTTCATCTCTCAAACCTGGAAAACCTTCCCCATCCCCAAAAATTCCCAGAAATTTTTTCCCACTGAATTTTCCAGAACATTCCAGCTTTGCGAACGATTTTCCAAGAAAATTTCAATTCCAGCTGTCGGAGAGCTCCAGGTTTGAGGATTCCAGCTAACGGAGATATTACTTTTTGAATTTTATCGTCCAGTGTTAATACTGTCTGTGAGGTAACTGGAGTACAGTAAACCCTTGCTATTCACGATTTTGCTCTTTGCGGTAAGCATATGGTGGCTAACTTACAAGCCTCTCCTGCAGAACAATGAGTCACCCCCATGCGCCCACAGTGTCTCATCTCCCTTTGTTTGCACTCAACTATTGCCTGCGATGCAGCATCTCTTGTGTTGCACTCAAAACTTTAGTGTTTCTGTGTGAAATGGCCCCTAAAAGACTGCTTAGTGTTTGTGGTAGTAATGCTAGTGAAGTGAAACTTTTAGAAACCTCAAAGCCAGGAAGAAACAACTACCAATCACGATATTTTTCAAGAAAGAACCAGTCAGTCGCTCGCCCAGCTGATTTGTCTCCCACATCTACTTGGTCAGCTGCTGCCGCCGCTCCACCTCCATTGCATTGCCCTCTTCCAACTATGATCCTGTTGATCTCCCTATGCTTCAGTAATAAGACTTCATCCTACTGTACAATACACTTCATCAAGCTCCAAACTTCCACATACGAAGGAAAGTAGTATTGATGACTTAAGTTTCTCATACAAAGTACAGGTTGGACCCCGCTAATCAGGGACCCGATAGTCCGACAGCTTCGATGGTTTGGGACGGCGTCATAGCTCACTTATAGTGGCTGTTGCCAGTATTTTATCTTTAAATACAGTGTGCCCCGCAAGGGAAAGGGAAACACTGGAGCACCTTAGCTTTTGTCTTTATTCAAGACATCTTCAGAGGCAACTGAATTTACAGGGACTGAGAGAGGCTTATATACAAAAGGTGACCTTGCATAACATCAGGTCAGGTCAATAACATGGGATCCACTAATCCACACACCACAAATAAATAGTAATGGGAAAATCCTCTCACAAATAATCAGAAACAAATGTAGTATTAGAAATGTTGAGTGTACCCTCAAGTCTACTCCGTGCTTTGTTATTAATAAAGCACGGGGTAAACTTGAGGGTAGACTCAACATTTTTAATACAGTACTACGTTTGTTTCTGATTATTTGTGAGAGGATTCTCCCATTATTATTTATTTGTATGTGTTTTGTGTGTGTCCACCCGCACGCACGCACACAAGCATGCACGCACACACACTACTGTACAGGTAAAGGAAATTACTGTCTCTAGAACAAATGGCTCCCTGTGCCGGCTGCGAAAATGCTGGTAACTTTAAAACTACCCACAGACATTCTTGGGTACATCCAGGGTGTCATCTGCGAATAATAGAGGACCGCGAAATAAAAATCCGCGAATTATTCGGGCATACTGTACTGTAAATACTTCATTTCTATGTGTACAAAGCATGGAAAGACATCATTTTAGGGTCATATGATCAGTTTTTCACCATGTTTCACCTCGCAATTTCTTTTATCCTTCATACCCTGCCCACTACAAGTGATTTATGATCATAGATAGAAGAAAAAATAAAAAAAATAAAAAATAAACTAAAATATATAATGTATATTATTATTATTAAGGTACTGTAGTGGATATTTTGCCATGACCGATAACTTCCTATTAATGATATTTTACTGTGAATGTGCTTTGACTGGCTAATCGTCTATTACCGCCGAACAACGCAAGAACCATATTTGACCCTGGCAGCATTTGGCATGTATTTTGCCATGAGCCAATCGTTGTGGAGCTGTAAACATACCTAACCATAATTCTGTTGTACATGGAAACTTATCATTAAAAAAGAGGCGACATTTACTAGAACCTGACCTAACCAACCAAAGAAACCAACCTGACCTTACCTAATTTCCTAGCCGGGGTCAGACCCCCCGTCATATTAAACAGAAAGTACCTAGTCAATCAAAGCGCACTCATGGTAAAATAACGTTAGTAGGAACTTAGTTGGTCACGGTAAAATAATCACTACGTACATTATTATTAAAATAAAAAGTTGACATATCATTTTCATTACTTACTATCATCCAAAGAACATCTGTGAAAAAAATGAATGAAATCGAACAACTCTTTTTGGTGTTGGCCATCTACTCCAGTATTACTCTTTATTTTATCCTTACAGATTGAAAAGTACTGGGCATGTACTTGCTCCAGAATGTATCTGTACCAGCACAAGTGTTAAGGTGGCAACACACTGGGCACTTTTCTCCCCAACATGTTGGGCAAACACAGTCCAGCCAGCTAAACAAAGAGATGTTTGCATCACACTGAGATGTTTTGTTGGCGAGTCCGCCCAATGCAACGAAAGCAACAACAAAGTTTCTAGACGAGGTTCGCCATAGATCCCATTACCACGTTGAGGCCTTGCAGGATTGTGCTATAGTTCTTCAATTGCTGAAGCAAGTGAGGCGTCTGTAAAAGTTAAAGAAAAGACAATGGGTGAGACATGAAGTTTCTTTAAAAGTGGCAGCGACTGGCTGGTCAAAGAAGATCCAGAATAATGATTTAATAAAACTAAAGAAGTTTTAAAGGGACGAATAAATAGAAACAGGTCACCATTTTATGTGTTATATTTTAAATTATTATCATTTCATGATTTATTTCAATTTTTACTTGAATATTCAAAATCTAATATGAAGCTCCTTTGAGCAATAACCCGACCAGCAAAGATCACTGCCAAACCACTGTCCATTTCTTGCAACAGTCGAAATCCTGCTGCTTGCTGTGCCGCCAGGCCAGCAGCCAGCAAAACGGATAACATGTTAGGAAGTATGTGCCCTGTGTGCCACTGCCTTTAGTCAAGTCTGTTCTTGAATGAGCTCACACTCAGTGCCACCACAACACTCTCTTGCAGATTGTTCACAACTCTCACTACATAAAAGGGTAAATTTGCATTTTCAACCAATATGGTTCTTGAGTTGAACAATGTGTTTTTCTGACGGTTTAGAAATTTTTAAGGTAAATTTTCACTTGTTGCCGGTAGACAAACTCAAAGTTGATACTATGTTTTTCTGGTGGTTGTGATGTGTTATGAACAAACTTTACCTTCATTTCCGGTGCAAATCAATAGTTTCTGAGATAAGCCCCCCTTCCTCCTCCCATCTCAGAATCTAGAGATTTGCTATAAAAAAAATAAGGTAAAAAGTGTTCAAAACACATAAAAAAAAAACATCGGAAAAAGAATTTTGAATCTAACCTAACCAACCAAACTTTACCTTGCCTAACCTATCCAGGGGGGCTACACAGTCGTTCGATGTTCTGGGTGTGTGCCACCACGTATCTCACTTAAATGTAATTTGCGCCAGAAATACCAGTGAAGAAAATTGTCTTAGAATTGTCGAATTTACAACTATAAAATTCACGATATTCATTTAGTAGTAACAAGTAAAATAATACAGGGTACCAATTTTAAGAAACTTTTTGGTTAATATATAGGACTAACCAGTTAGCGAGTTACTGTATTTTTATTACTGTTTATTTTCTTACAATATTTTCATCAATGAGTTCTAATATGATAATCATTTATTGTGGAAATTGTTCGTTTTACAGATAATTAGGTGCCTTGGCGCACATTAGTTTGTCTTGTGGGTGGTAATGAGGCCGAGGTCTGCTGAGAGGCTTTTCCCGCGCCCGGGCCAGTTTGTTTTTCAGCACGTCATGTGAAAGTTCTTGCCGATCTTACATGAACGTAATTTGTGAATTTAGGAGTAAAGACAACGAAACCCTTCAGTTGTTGTTTAAAGATCACGGCATTGTTCCTTTACATAGAGACTGTTTATTTTCTTACATTATTTTCATCAGTGAGTTCTGATATGTTAATCATTTATTGTGGAACCCACCAACACAGTAAATCACTCCGCCGCCTGGGGTGCATAGTGCCGATGCGGCCGTATCATTTCACGTCCAGAAAATGCCTCAAATTTCACCATATCATAGTAAGTTCTTTCTGTTTAATATACCGGGGGGTCCGGGGAAAGTTAGGTAAGATTAGGTACCGGTAGGTTGGTTAGGTCTGTTTTTCATACCAACAAATGTTAAGTAATGTTTAGTTTTAAAATATCCATTTTTTTACATATTTCCACAAACTACAACAGTGTCCACTATAATATAACAATGAAAATCTGATGTTTTCATAACTTTTTTCAATCAATTTTGCTCACTTGTTAGTCCTATATACTGTAATTACCCACTTTGGTAAATTTGCACTTCCACCTCCCACTCTGTTAGAAAGTAAAAAATATATTTTTCTAGTGTATGTGTGTGTGTTTAGACCGAATATGACCTTCATTTCCGTTGGAAATTGGCCGTTTTTTTAATTGATTTGTTTTTGTTGGACACTTTTGAAAAAAAATTAATGCTAAGCGAATAAAAAATACACCAAAACACGCTAGAAAAACAAAAATCAAACTTAACCTTACCTAACTAACTCTCACCATATGATGGAATCACCTATTCCTTACCTTATTGGGCTGGTTCTTGTTCATTGTTGGATTCTGAGATTCTTACACAACACTACATATGTTGTTCTTTGCAATATTTACATTCAGTCTTGCACGTAGGACTCTTTACTGAGGTTGGAAGAACACCATGCGATCAAAAAAATGCTATAGTTTCTTCGTTTTTTCCCCCAAAACTGTCAATCGGCTCCATATAATTGAAGTGACACCCATCACAGACTTCCATGGTCGGAAATGAAGTTGAATTTCGAAATATGAGACCCAAAATAAAAATAGATTTTGATTGGACCAAAAATACCGCGAATTAAACCACAAGTCATTTTAATTGGTTGCAAAAAAAAAAAAAACACTTTTGATTGGTCGCGTGACGCGCACGGGAATGCATGCGCGTGAAGATTTATGAAGGAGACACGCAGTGTGGGAGGTGAGGTAGGCGATAATGGCGGAAGATTAATGGAAGAAAATAGAGAAAATTTTGGATATGCTATCTCCGTTATTATACATTTGCGACGGTAATGTAATAGATGAAAATGATCTTATAATTAGACGTCTTATAAGAATATGATAATAGATTAGTGGTAGGAATGTGGAATGTTTAAACGCAAAAATACCCCAACTTTTGTTCTATGAAGTTTCCCTCGCAAAGGATTAAACATACTACAGTTAGGTTAGGTTATGTAATTTTAGGTTATTTCTGAAGGAAACTCGACAGCCATATTGGTTGAAATTGCAAATTTACTCATAAAAGTTTACCCTGAGAGTTTTGTGAACTTGTAGCTTCTTCAACGTTAAGCTGTGACCCTTGAGGTAGTGGGCCGGGCATCATCTAATCCCAGCCAGGTATGAACACTCGACTAAGTTTTACCCTCTGAATTGCTTATTAACTACTATTAAGTCACCCTTATAGTTTAAACTTGACAACCTCGGGGTAACTGGGGTGCCGTAGTGCAGCCACCAGTCCTGTGGCCCCCCCAATCAACGGAGTGACAGTACTGCGTACCTCATCACGCAACACACCCGTTTCTCATTACCTTCAATCTGTCAAGCATTACCAACCGTTCTACCACACACCACATACCAGACCTTCTAATAACCCCTAGACTCACCTTAACGAGTCATGCCAATCACTCTGGATGACGAGAACACTCTTGGGTCCAGCCATGTTGTGTGTTGTTGTTGTTCACCGTCTCCACTTCCCTCCACGAATACCGAGAACTGTATTTACTTTATTTTCTTCTCAACTTACCAGTTTATTTTTTTAATTCATATTTATCAGCTTATTTACAATTGTGGATGTTGGCCTGTTATTTATTACTTTGGCATTACCTCTATTTTATGACGATTAAAAAGCTGTTATGTTTAGAAGGGTCACACTGGTAAACACCTTCTCAAGCTTTTCCCAAGCCGGGGATTGAACCCAGGACACTAAATTGAAATACCTGTACCTGCATATTATACGCGTTTTACCTCAGTACTCTACCAATAACACCTCACTACTCTGTAAAAACACACACAAACATACAGAACAGGTAAAATAAGTGATTGTACAGGTAACATAACAACAATGTTACTGTACGCCAGCAATTATGTCCTGACTTTATTCTTGTATCAATCAATATGAATTTTTAAGTACACTCTATTTCGACCAGTGGTAATTTCATTTTAAATTTGCATTGTAATTTGGTTGAGAAGTTATCCTTAGTTCCGACTATTTAGTAGTGATAAACATATGAGAAAGGAACGCAACTTGTAATTGTTAAAAGAAAGATGACTTTTATTAAGTTAATATTGAAGTTATGAAAAAAAGAATTTGAGGGGCTCGTTAGTATACCTTAGATCAATTTAATAATGCCATAGGCTATGCTTATTTGTACTTTAGATATCTAGTCAAATTAAATTGTAGCTGATAAATTAATGTTTAAATGTTGGCGGGATTATTAGCTCGCCATCTGTTGGTGACATAGACAACTACATTTCTGTTTACATTCTTCATTTAGCGAGTTTTATATACCACTCTGCTGATGTTTTTTCAACCATAAGTGAAGTAATAATCATAATTCAACAAAACTAAACTTTAATATATATTGAACTTAGCTTATCACAATTATTCATAAAATACTGTAAACTACGACGTAGGAAGGAATAGCCAATATTAAGTCAAGTCCAAATGTTGATAAGACTCAGTAACGCCATCTCTTGAAGCTCTGGTGAACTAAGGAAGAAAGGAGCGGTATCCTGCACGTTTTCCCGCCATATTACCTTCGCTACTCTTATTTCAAGCGATTTTTATTTGAAGGAATATAATATTGATATGTGAACCATCACCCACACAGACACTGGACGGAATACTTCAGTCTTACACTCCAGTCTGGGCCTAAACAGGTAAAGTACCCGGGAGAAAACTTGAATTTGTGACATTTGTGATCAGAGCCATCTCTTGCAGAAAACTATCACAACTGGCCCAGCCGCATCTAGGCCTCTGATGACATACCCACACCATAACAATCCTCACTCCTCTTTACTTTAACTACTTTATAAATTTTCTCGCCATTACCTCCAGCGCGTAGAGGGATATTTGGGTAGTGTGTGTAGACCAGCTGCGGGAAGAATGGAGAAATGTGGAGCGCAGTTATGGAGATGTGATCACACCCTCACTCCTCTCTCCAACATTTTCTTTTATTTTACTTAATGTGCGTCTTTCTATCATCGCCGAATCATGGAAGTACGGAAAAATACGATATTATGGCCCAGTGAAGATATTTTTCACGGTTATAAAGGTCTTTACTGTATATTAGTACTGTGTGTGACCTTATGGGGGATGATGCCAGGATGTTGTGCTTGCTTGTTCCTGACCACCACACCACGGTCCCCACTCCTGTAGCCCCCGTGCAAATATTACAAACATTAAACTCTCAAAATCATAAAATGCGAGGAAATATTTTATATTTTATAACAGTGATATGTGAGGAAATATTTGAAATGTAAAGTTTTATTTTTCAAGGGAAATTTTTAAGTCGCCTCAACTTTTGCAGGACATATTTCTCAATTAAGCTTTGTTGATCACTATTTATAGGGATTAATTAGAGAAAATAATACCAAAATATATGGAAAAGGAGTTTGTTGATGAAAAATCCGTAAGTTATGCTGTTGCGCATATAATCAGTAAATGCAAAAGTTAAGGACTGTTTAAAGAAGCATTCGACTTCAGTACTGTGCTGTATTAACAGTCGGTGAGTGAATGATGTATAATTTTATAAGTACTGTACAGTACTTTGGACAGTATTTACAAACAAACTTATGTTGTTTTCTGCATTATATCCCAAAGTTATAACAACCCGATTTAGTTGTGTTTGTTTATTAATTAGATTGTATTTATTAAATGTGAACCAAGATACTCGTCTCGGTGGAACCCATTTCAAGGTGTGATATACTATTTCTACTTTGAGTCTACTATGAATTGTCAAGTAGGTTTTGGTCTCTGCATATTCAGTACAGTACCTTGGCCGAATAACATAAAATCACCACTAAACTATTAGTATGTTAGGTTTTAGTAGATGTGAACCTCGAAGATATACTGTACTCGGATTTGGAAGTACTGTACACTTAGTGTAATTAGTGGTTTATTCCTACTGTAACTAATACAGTGAGTCATCATCACTTTGCTGAAGTTACTGAGGCTATGGTAACTTGATGCTTCATAGCAATACAGTATATTTAAAGTTGTGGGAATCGTAAATCAAATCTTTAAATAAATTCTAGTAAATGGGAGGAGTATTTTGGTGTAAACTGGCTTTTAATGCTGTAACTTGAACTTTACAAAGAGATTTTAAGTTTATCATTGTATTTGTCAAAACATATGTGCAAGCTAAATATATGTGGAGTAAAGGAATGACATTTTCCTTGTCTGACAAAGCTTCAATCATTATGCTGGTTCCCCCTGACAGGGTGGACCCCCAAACTACATACACTTTGTATTACAGTATTGTTCTGTAATTCTTCTTGTTACCAATTGTAAAACTTAATAATGGTAAATAGAAGATAAGCTTGGCAAGACATGCAGGGATTTACTCCATACTCTTGGAGACACATGGGTTTACTCTAAGCTTGGAGACATAGGGTAGGTTTACTCTATAAGGGGTCTGACTAATTACCCAAATGCACCCAAATGTACCCGGAAAGAAGTCAAATAATGGTCCTAAATGAATAAATCGGACTGCCAATCACTTCTCGACTAGTATTTGGTGTCACAAAGTCACAAAAAATTGGTAAACTTAATTTAATCTGAGTTAATAGATCGAGTGCATGTACCTAACCTAACCTAACACAACTCAGATTAAATTAAGTTTACCAATTTTTTGTGACTTTATGACACCAAATAATAATCGAGAAGTGATTCACAGCCCGATTTACGCTTGTAGGGCCATCATTTGACTTCATTGCGACTACATTTGGGTAATTACTCGCTCCCTCGGTACATGCACGCGATCTATTAACTCAGATTAAAGTATGTTTTCCAATTTTTTGTGACTTTGTGACACCAAGTACTAGTCGAGAAGTGATTGGCAGTCCGATTTATTCATGTAGGACCATTATTTGACTTCATTGCGGCTACATTTGGGTAATTAGTCGGACCGTCGTCAGGTTATTTTCTGCTGAGTAATTGGCACAAATTTGTTTGGCAATGAGAAGGTGGATGAGGTGGTCCCATTATTTACAAGTTATCAACAAGTGTTTGACTCAGCATTTTTAGCTTTGATGGTGTGATTCTTTTTATATATTATATTTTGTGGTTAATATTGAAGACTAACCTACTGATAAGTTATTTGTTATGCTGTTTATTTTCTTATTCTATTTTCATCAATGAGTTCTGATATGGTAATTATTTCTTGTGCAAATGCTTCGTTTGGTAGATAATTAGGTGCCCAGTTGGGCACTACTTTGTTTTCTCAGCGGTAATGTGGTGGTGACATCTCATCCCAGGATGTAAGCAGCTAATCATATTGACATATTTCAAAACACTGCTGCCCGGGCTGGCTCAATGCCAATGCTCATTGTATGCTTGTGAACCATTCAGTATGGGAAGCTGCTATCACGTCCACAAAAAAAAAAAAAATTACACCATATCATAGTCAGTTCTTTCCGTTTAATATACCGGGCCCCCGGCTAGGAAGTTAGGCAGGTTTATTTGGTTAGGTTGGTGAGGTCTTCTAACAAGGCTTCTGCTGTTTGTTTTTCATATCAACTAAGGTTAGGTTATGTTTAATTTAGCAATAACAACTTTTAACACATTTGCACAAACTACGGCTGTGTCCACTGTAAAGCACAGTGAAATTGTGGTGGTTTTATAATCGTTTTCTCTGAAAAATTGGCCCTGGGTCAGGCATCAATAATTACATTTTTTTGTCATTAAATAGGTTCTCGTGGGAATTTCATACACGTTCTTGCCAATGTATGTGTATGGTATATTTAGGGTCTAAAGAAAAATTTTTTTTATCATTTTTTCTGTTACCATCTGTAGTTACTGAGAGGTAAATAATGATATCTATTAGTATCCTTATTTTCCCTGTGTAACTGGTGTGATTGAAAAATACAAATTATTAAGTGTTGTCACCACTATAATCTGCATTCAAGAAACAGTAGCTAAGGACATAGTACAGTACAGTATTACATTAATTCATTACCATCATAATCAACAAATTTTATGTTTTTGTTTTCCAAAATGGAAGCAATATGAAACATTGTAGATGGTACAAACTAAGATCATTAACTGAGAACATTTACTGAAAAAGAAAATATTTTGAAATTCAATACTTTAACAATCAGGGATATTGGAAGATTTATATATATATATATATATATATATATATATATATATATATATATATATATATATATATATATATATATATATATATATATATATATATATATATATATATATATACAGTCAACCCTCGCTTTACGCGTTTCCACGTTTACGCGGTACCCTGCCAAAACCGGAATGCTCACATTCCGCGGTGCGTGTACCCTTTTACGCGGAGAGCAGCGCGAGCAGGGTGCGCACAAGGTCGCTCAATCATCAAAACATTACTGAGTTCTTCACCCGCCACCCGCCACAGCTGGCCCAAGTCAGTGATAGTGATAATGATAGTGAGGATATGGACTTATATGGACTTTGAGGGGTTTGACAAAGAGGCCCTGCAAGCCTCTGTGGTGGATAGTGATACAAGTGATACAGGTGAGGGCCAATAATCTGCCCTCTGCCTCGGAACCAACCCCCCATCCCCGTGTGCCCAGCCATCTTTTCTACTAATGTAAGTGTTAAAAAACCTAATATTATTGATATTTCTCTTAATTATTAATTGTGTGTGCATACCATCATAAAATTAAGATGTTATTTTTACTACAACGTAGGTATTGTGTCTGAAAAAGTGGAGTTTGGGGTCGGCCCGCCCGGCCTCTATTTCAATTAATCCCATATGTTATGTTGTTCACTTTTTTTCTCACTTTACGCGCCGTGGGTTGAATTAACAGCGTAAAGTGAGGGTTCATATATATATATATATATATATATATATATATATATATATATATATATATATATATATATATATATATATATATATATATATATATATATTAGATTTTACTGGATTGTAGTAAAACCTAACTAGCTCAATAGTAACATAGGGATTATGAGAAAAAAATAACTTAAAAGTTTCAATCCATTAAAAACACAAAATAGATCCTTCATCATCTGAATCATTTTCTGCTTCGACCATATTTGTGCAGCTGTCTGGGGTCACTGGAAGGTGTCGGTACAAGTCTTATTGTTTTATCTGCATGAGCATCGTCCTCTGCACAGGCTTTTGGTGCCTGTGCAGTAAACTTTCTGGAGCAAGAGGTAGGTACTCCTGTCTGGACTGGAAGGAATTCTCCTGATGGTTCTGTTGACCATCCTAATCTAGTAAGTTCTGGATATACTGGACGTGGACTCGGTACCTGTTGCCACACATTGCTCTGCAAGTGACCTAGCCTTATATACTCATGAATAGCCCCTTGGGTCGGTGGCAATTTATCATTAACGTACCTTGACATTCATTTATTTAGTCATCTGAAATAGTACCAACGGAGTTCCAGTGGGTCACTATATTGTTCCTTCTTCGGGCTGCTGAATTCTTCACAACCTTTAAATACATAACTGACTGGTTCTTCACCAATCCCTAAACGACAGCAAGAGCATGTAAAACACTTTCTAAGACAAATGTATTCCACCAGCCATTCTTTTTTTTTCCAAAGATATGACCAGTTGTCACAGCACTAATTGAATGAAAACCTCTTAAAACCTGAACACGACTTTCACCAAGGGCATGATACAGTGGTTGCAGATGCACGTGTTGACGATTTGTACCCGTCCCCATAATGATACATGGTTGATCACCCAGTACTGGCATTAGTAACACATCTTTATCAGATGCATTGATGTGAACTGGTTTTCCAGCTTTTTGCACTTCAGCGGCATACAATAAGATTAGTGTTATCTGTCTCTACTTGGGAACTTTCCAAATCAACTACATTCCTTCTGATTCAGCCTGATTTGATGACAACCCCATTCGTGTGACTGTATTGATGGCTATCTTGCAATTTTCCACACCTTTTCTTACCAGGTAAACTGTCAGGAGATCTTTTGTTTTTGGCGCTGCTAAGAAATGTGTTGAAATCCTTTGTGCTCTCCTTCAAACACTTGACACTATAGTTGTCAAATACTGCAACTGCATTGGCATAACTTTGAATTTTCCTGTCAATAGAAGTGATGTAGTAAACAGCCAAGTCCTTGCAGCTATATATTTCATCCTTGCAAAAGGCCATTTCATGGACAACTGCCATACCATCATAAAGAATACATATACAATCAGGAATTACGAACTCTAGGGTGAATGCAGATTTGTGTCTTCTTCAGTCCTTTTCCACCTGAGGCTTTAACTGATGAATAAGTTGAACCTTGTCATTACATGGACGTAGTCTTCCATTACAGGCATCCCCCGCTTCACGGAAGGGTTGCGTCCCTGGAAAATTGACCGTGTCGCGAAATTCCGTAATGCGAAACCTATTTTCCCATTGACTTCCATTATAAGACTGGAGATGCATTCCTAAGGAATTTTTTCGGCCCCAAAAAGGTAATTCAGGCACTTTTATGAATGAAAATATACACTTATAAACACATACAATACAGTATACATTAAATAATTTATGATATACCTTCTTAAAACATCAAGTTTAATATCCAATGTAATGCCTTTGCGGCTTCTTTTTGCACTACTGCGGTCACTTCCACTTGATGGCCTCTTTCCAGTCATCTTGAATAAGGGTAATGCACTGTACTGAACTGTACTGAACTGTACTTACTGTATGTTAGTAAAAGTTAAATCCAACTGCTGGGGTGAGAAACATGCGCGCACACTGGATGTAAACAATGGAAGCGTTGTGTGTGGGGACATCTTAGGAGGTAATGGAAAAGGGTGCTGCTGTCGGGTCTTCTGCATAATGCACAAGAGCATTGCTCAGGGGATGTGGGGATACCAATCTCCCAAGCAAACTCATACCCAATGATGATACGGGCAGCAATCATGTCCCCTTTCCACGACCCTTTCCCGTAGACGTACGAGAGGTCAGGAAGTTTAAGGAGGACATCGTACCAGGTGGGCGGGGAGTCCAGGGGGATGGCTGCTTCCTGAGCTTCTCTCTGTTTGCGGCGAATTTGGGTCCTAATCTGTAAGAGTGTTCGAGGAACAACGTAGTCAGGTGTGGCCTTGTTGCAGCCAGTCTTGGCAAGGCCATCTGCTGCCTCATTCCCCAAGATACCGACATGACTGGGTATCCATAGGAATGTCACGGGACGGCCTGCATCCTGAAGTGTTGATGTTAACCCTTGTATTCGGAGGATGAGTTCCTTATTTTCCCCTGATCCAAATGCGATCCCGTCGAGAGCAGACCTGGAATCGCAGCAGACAAGCAAGGGGCAGAAACCATCTGCTTCTTCCTCAGCGAGAAGGGCAGCAAGGAGGACTATTAGTTCAGCCTAAGTGGAGGATGCCCCGTCAGAAACTCTGAGAGACAGTTTGATAGGCTCAGGGGCATCAGGACGGAAGATGTAGACACCAGCCCCGGCCCTACCTGTAGCGGGTTCAACAGAACCATCAGTGTAGAGGACGACCCTACCTGGGGACCAGTGAGCGATCCTGGAGAGGTGGTATTTGCAGAGAATAACAGGGTTCACCTGGGATTTCGGGAGCAGTCCACCGAGGGCAATCACTTCAGGTTGAAAATCCAGCCAGGGAGAAGGAGACGAACCAACAGCAGGGGTGACAACAATATCAGGCAGGAGGTCGTGTTCCTGAAGGGCTCGGATGAGTGACCCTCGCCACTGTCTTCTAAATGGAGGTCGGTCTCGGACAGCAGGAGTCAAGTTGGTTTGGACATAGTTGCCCCAAGGATCCCGTAGAATGGAAACGGCATTTTTTAGGTAAAACTCCTGGACGCGATCCTGTAAGGGGGAAAGACCAAGTTCGGTATATAGAGAAGTAGAGCGTGTCCACTGAGGAGCCACAAGGATGATACGAGCAGCTTTCCTCTGGATAACTTCGAGACGGTTGACAGCAGTCCGACTAATGTTGACAAGGGCAGGGGCGGCGTAGTCCACACAGGAACGGTCAAAGGACTTGTACATGGTGAGAAGTACAGGGATGGTGGCACCAAGGGAACCCCTGCACATGGTAGAGAGGGGAGCGAGACGCCGAAAACATATGTCTCGAAGATAGCGGACTTCAGGGATCTGACAACGTGTGCGAGTTACATACACACCCAGGTATTTTTTCTCATTAACTCAGTCCAAGGGCGTTCCTGATAAGAGAAGGGGTGGAGGTACAACACGACCGTGCCACATGGCTTTTGTTTTCGCAGTTGAAAGAAGGAAACCAAGTGAATCACACTCTCTGGAGACCAGATCAAGGGCTTCCTGCATGCTGAGGTAGTCAGGGGCAGTGAAATGTTGAAGGTTTATTCTCAATTCTGTGGATTCGTTCCAGAAAAAAAAATAGCATTGCCTTCATTTCACTATAGGCTATTCACAGTACAGGGTACAGTAATATATTGGACTGATATCTGCCATTTCAAATGCTGTGCATGAATAAATACTATAGTTTATATTTCCAACTTTGTTGGGCCAGGGGAGGCACACATGGCAGTTTGCTTACTGAGAAACAACAGAACTGACAACTGTCAGTAAGATGACAGGTTTAGGAAACTTAAAGAACATAGTAATACTGTATAGATATAATATCTGTACAATACTGTACTATTATCAGAAGTTACTGTCATAACTATTTTGTGGTGGGAAGGTGTGACCAAATGTACAAAGATTAGACCAATGTAAGCCTAGGTGCATATTGAGATGCAGGGCAGTGCAGAAATCTGTACCGTATATAGTTATGGTATTTCAAATCAGAGTGCACACATTGGGATGCAGGGCTGCATGGCATAGGGGTTGGAACACAGTTTTCTGCTCGACATGCCCTTCTTATTAACCTGGTCAGCCCCCAAATAATACTGATTTTGTTACAGAAAGATAAAATACGAGATTTTTTCATCTTTTTTTCATTATTGGTTTATACCTCGACCTCCATGAAGGCCATTATGGTACCATAGCTTCAGATCAACAACAAAAGCCAGTCATATTTTTGTTAATGGGGTTCCAGTGATTCATTATGTGTTTTGGTCTCCTGATTATTCTCAAAGTAAAGTAGGTACAAAAAGGGGTTAAAAGGTTCAGTTCACTATAGACTGAAGTATTCTATTGTAACAAGTGTGTTGGGGGTGAACTCTTGATTTTCTTAAATTTGTTAAAACAACTCTTTTAGGTTTTATGGTAGAAGTAGTTTACTTTATCATTTTACTGTTTAGTTAAATACTTTTGTGTGTTGAAGAATTTTTTTTGTTACCTTTAACTAAAATAAATCAGATAGAGTATTGAAAACTTAGAGATTAATAACTATGTAATAATACTGTACTACTACTGAACAGTGATTTTAAGATAAAATCGAGGAACTGACCTTAAGTGCTGGTTGTAATTTGTTTTAAGTATTAAAACTGCTTTGAGCTCATGAGTCTATATCTTGGGGTTCAGGGGTGGGAAGCAAACTTTGGTAGTTGACTACACAGGTATTAGATGTGACACCCACAGCCATCAATGTGCCATTGTTTCATTTGTGAACCAGTCTCTCATTCTTGTTGTCTTTCCTTATACACTACTGCTTCTTCCACAAAGACATTAAATAACCAAGGTGGCACTACACACGCTTCATAACGTCAAACCACTCCTTCTCACCTTTGTTAATTCTCACATACACTACTACCATCTCCAAAACTCCTCACAGCCTTCACTAATGTAAGATGTAGTTCAAATGAGCCCTATAATGTGTGTATAATACTGTATACCCCTTTTTTTTTCAAATGTAATCAACTTTTTTATTTATTTATTTATTTATTTTATTTACAGGGGGTGAGGATGGGGCGTGGGGACAACCTGACCATATTATACCCTTCTGGGTGTAAGGAAGTGACGGAAGATGTTGGTCCTGATGAGCTAATCCGGCGGCTGAAGACTTTAGCTCACACTCTACAGTCCATGGGCCAGGATGATGGTGCTTACCAGGTTAGTGTGAGTCCAAAGCATTTTGTTCTGTTTGGTCTGTTGTGCACTCTTATCTGTTAACTTACTTCTGTCTAGTTTAGTAGTATTTAATGTAACAGCCTTCAGACTAGTTATTCCCATTGGCTACCTAGTTTTAAGAGTGTTACCATTTGTGAGTAGTATTTTGTAGGTAAAGCTGCCTCCTTGACCCCCACCACTAAGGGGAAGCTGAGGGTAAATAATGTATGGGTGTGTGTGTGTATGTCTGTTCCTCACTGTCTGTGCATGTGTATATGTAAATGAGTGAGCACACAAAACATTTCAAATAGCATTATTCTATTCTCACCCACCTTGTGTACTGTATGTAGAGGTATTATTTGTGATCTTTAAGGGTTTACAAATTGTGGTTCAAGGTTTAGATTACAGGCATGGTGGATTGGTGGTGGTGGTTTTATTCATAATAGGGTGGGTGTTAGGGATGCAGTGTTCCTGGAGATTTTGATTAAATTGAGTTTATAGATGTAACCCAAAAACATCTTCCCACCATATTTCTGTTATCAAATATATGGGATTATTCCTTGTTTTAGTTACACTGTAATGTATCAAAATATTCCTAGTATTAATTGTATGGGGATATAATTCTCACCAAGTACTGTACAGTATATGGAAATATTATTATGAAATATATTGGAGTATCATTCTAATTACTGTATTAATATTGTTTATGAGAATGTCATTCGTGTTATTGTTTTGGAATATCAACCTATCGTGTGTTATTTACATCTTCACAGGAATACGTCCCATTGGCCATGCACATAGCAGATGACTTCTTTCTCTCTTATCCGAGTCGTGATGTGCAGCTGCTGATAGCCTGCTGCATTGCTGATGTTTTGAGGGTTTATGCCCCAGAAGCGCCTTACAAAGATCCTGGACAAGTGAAGGTAAAGTCAAGTCTTCTCTTCTCCTTTCTTGTGTAACTACTTCATCATGTTATCTTTCTTGTGTAACTACTTCATCATGTTATCTTTCTTGCTTCACTTCTTCTTCATGTTATCTTTCTTGTGTAACTACTTCATCATATCATAGACAAATTCATTATAAAGGTTTTACTATTCTTCATTAAATTATCTTTTATCATAATGAACTAAGAGTTTAAAATCTCCCATGTGTTTTAGTATATACAGATAGCAAACATTTCCTTTTTATCTAATACAGAACTTCACAACTTGATCCCTCAGTTTTATGGACAAGAACCTCTCAATTTACACGGTAATTATGTACTTGAAAATGGTCATGTGAATCAAACTTATGCAAATAGTGGAGATTAAGGGGTTTCATTATAAATAAGACAGTATCTATTATTATACCAGTGAAAAACTAGTGTATACATGTACCAGTACCAGGAAATATAAAATAGCTACTCTGGGCCTTTGCTTTCATCATAAGCATGCTGGGAGGAACATTTTTGTGAATTAGATGTTTGATCCATATGCTCAACATTCGTTCCATTCTCTCATAATCAAACTTTAGCAATGCAAGGTCTTAGATGTACTGATTAATGTTCCATTCTTGGCACTTTCCGTGATCTTCTCTGCACTATCACAATTATTCTGTAAAATAGATTCATCGAGTCCAAGGGTACGCTTAATATCACTCTTTGTTCACCTCTCTTGTACTGTTTGAGTTCATCCACCTTAACCTCAGTGGTGATGACCTTAACCTTTTTAGCACCACTGGTACCAGGAAAATTTAAAGGACACTTTGGTGGCATGATGCAAAACACTTGCAATATACAGTATACTGCAGCACGAAATTCTATAGCAGTCAGTGACTATCGACTGTATCAACACACCGCAGACTGCAAGGCGGTAAGCTGCATACCCATGCCATGCGTACGGCGCTGGCAATGCGACTGCACTGCCAGCCGAACGACTATGTTTGTCGATGGTCACATTATTCCAATCGTAACCCCACGTAAATTAAAAAAAAAGTGTAATTGGATCACACACATTATTCTAAAAATGGCTTAAACCAAACATATGTAAATTGAGAGACACCTGTAATAATGTATACAATATAGCTCAGTGAATGTCTGTACTGTACTCTACTTCAACCTTATCCATCAGATTGCTTCCAGTGTGCTGTAGTTACAGGATCAGTATCTGAACCTATCTGGGCAATTTGAAATACCACACGGATCGATGTTGAAAGCTTAATGTATCACCATTGAATATTAGAATGACCCTTTTTGGTTTTAGTTGGTAGAGTGTTAGTTGATGTAGGTATAGAGGCTGTGTGTAATTAGCTATTCCTTTTGTCCTACAGACTCTCTTCATGTTCCTGATAAAGCAGCTTGGAGGCCTCAAAGATCCTAAAGATCCAGCCTTCAAGCGCTACTTCTACCTCCTAGAGAACCTGGCCTATGTCAAGTCCTTTAACATGTGCTTTGAGTTGGAAGATTGTCAAGAGATATTTTGCAAGCTTTTCAAACTAATGTTTAACATTGTCAAGTAAGTAAAAATGAAATATTTGTCACATTTGCCATTCTTTGTGTTGGCTGTCAAATGGTGTCACCTTCATTGTTATCTCCCATTATTTTGGTGAGAGAACTTGTGTTTGTCTTCCCAATCAGTCAAATTGTGACTAAAACATTTTAAGAAATACAATTTGGTTTGTGAAATTTTTAATACAGATATACAGTAATTCAACAGGATCTTTCAGACATCATAGGTTTTGCAATTGATAATTTTTCATAAAGATTGTTATTTAGTTATTTAGTGTAACCCAAACATTATTGCTACTTTTATGCCAGTTATATAGAAGAAATGTAAAAAAAAATCATAATCTAATGATTACAGATCTTTAAAGTCTCAAGGCACACTTTTGTCTGTTCTGTGCCAAACATACATGACACAGTTGGTATATCACTTGCCAGTTACAGGAACATTACATAATCATAGTTTATCCTTTTATGGAATTTCAAGGCAAATTTGCTTACATTTCAGTGCTTATGTAGTTGTGATACTTTCTCAGAATAGCATATATTTTTTAACATAATGCCAACAGGTAACTTAAATTTACTCAGTTGTTATTTAAATTATAGCTCATTTGTTTTGCAAATAAATGTTTATTAATATTTGAATTTCTGCCCCTAGTGATGAACACAGTGGGAAGGTGAAGTCATTTATGTTGGATGTCCTCTGTCCACTTATCAATGAGAGTGATGTCGTGTCTAATGATCTCTTAGACATTATACTGTCCAACGTTCTTGAGCCAGCCAAGTCCCAGCGGAAAAACGCTTATCATCTAGCCAAAGAACTGGTGGTCAAATGCTCCGACACCTTGGAACCTTACATACAAGCAGTAAGAGAAGAATACACTTATTACTTTTTATTGAAATAAGATGTTTACTGTTATATAATTTGTTGAGAAAGAAAGGTTGTTTAGATACTAATATATTGAGATCACTTATAATTGATTTGGTCTTGGGGTTAATTATCATTAAAAATTAAATTACTTTTTATATTTGTGGAGACTAATAGTGAATGAATGGAAGGTTGAAAATGAGTATTGGGCTTTAGAAGTCAACAAGCTGAGGAAAGAGAATGTTACTGAAGTGTACACTATCAAGAAATGGTTAAGGCAAGGTGGGCACATGTAGATAGAGATGAGAGGGAGTGGTTGAGAGAAAGGAGGAAGCAGGTCAAGAGTACAGTCATAGTCCATCATTAAAGGACAGCACTGGTGTTTGGGTATTGGAGAATGAGAATGATAAAAAAAAGGAAGTGAAAAAGAATGGTCTGGTGAGAGGTCAAGGGTGTTAATGAAGGAGAGGACAAGGTCGTATAAATATCAGTTTCAAGATAGAGAGAGGGGTGAGAGACTGGGGTGATTGGTGAAATAATGCAGTAGAAAGGCAGATGAATGATTGAGAGAAAGTGTTATAGAGGAAACTGAATGATTGCTTGAAAGGAGGAGAATGAGAGAAGTGATATCTGAATGTGGAAACAAATGGATGGATTATAGAATAGCTCAGGGTAAATAAAATAATAAGAACAATTAAGAAATATACAAAGAGATAATTGTATCAAGGAAGATCAATTTTGTAATGTACTGAACAGGGGATATGTTTAAGCCATTCTTTATTATGTGGATGTGAGGCAGGGGTTCTGGATACAAGGGGAAGGACCAAATAAGAAACAAAAGAAATTTATACTTGGGAGAAATATACAGGGTAAATTGGTTACAGAGAATGAGAAGGAGTGTGAAGGAGAGAGAATGGGAAGTAAAAGATGGTTGGTTGGCAGGAGGGAGAGAGGAGAAGGAAGTTCTGGGTGAAGGAAGTTCTGAAAGTGAGAGGAGTTGACAGGAGGGACAAACAGAACATGGTGTCTTGTAGTTTATGGTGGGACTGTTCACAAGGTGTTATAGCAAATGGTTGAGGGAGACTGGTGAAAAAAAAGTTGTGTTAGCTCATGATTCCAACCATCTTGCAGCATAGTGAAAAAGACTTGTAAATGGTAAATGGTTGGTAGGTATTTACCCATTAGTATAACCTACTTAATTGAAAATGTTTTTAGTGTTTTTGTGTGAGTATTTAACATGTTTCCGCTTATTTTTGCAGTTCTTCAACCATGTCTTGATATTGGGTCGTGAGGAGAAGACACTGACCATATCACAGAAGGTATACGACCTCATTTACGAATTGAATCACATATGTCCTTCAGTCTTACTATCCGTCTTACCACAGGTTAGTATTTTGTATTTACAGGGTTTGCATTTATTTAGTTTTTAATGCCAGTATTAATGTTGTTTCAACTCTTAATACAGTTATACTATATTGTAATCTGAATGTAATGGGCAGTTCCACAGAAACAGATTTAAAAATCTGGGTCATTTTACATATTATTTGGATATCCTTAATATATCTGGTAGAGGTATGGAGAGTTTTTATAACTTTGTACCCATTTTGGGTGATTTGCAAGATGTACAGTGCTTTCCCAATAAACACCAGTGCTGTGAACAACTGGTGGTAACCCAAAGATCACTCACTCTTTCCATTGCTTTGATATCATTTTATTTGTCTGTGTAGGAAACTAGATTAGCAGAACAACCTCCTCACTGCCTCCAGACTCACTGAGGAAAGGCACATCTGTCCAGCTCCTCATGTAATTGAGAAATACAATACATGCCTTCTTGGTACTAGGGTTAGGCTGGCTCACACAGCTACTGTTTTTTTTTATAAAGTGGGTGTGGATGTTTCCTTTCTCTGGCATCATTTTCTGAGTGTTTACATTTGTAATGACCTTTTGATTTTGTGTGGGGCTTGGTAGCTGTGTGATTGTGTCACTAGGTTAATGGAAAATCTTACTTGGTGTCTGTCTGCCTTGACTTTTCCCCTGCCATTTGAGTGAAGAGAGTTTTTTAGTGACTGGCCCATTGCATCACTACTTCTTTTCTTTATTGTCTCGGCCTCCGAGGGCCTTTAAAATAGTGTTTAAAGGCTTGTAAAGGGACATTAGAAAACTATTGAAGGATTGTATTGCCTTTTTTTTTTTTGATGGGGGGGGGGCATTAGCCCACCTGGGCACAGGTGGGGGGATGGATATAATAATGATGATAATAATAATAAATTTAATAAAAATAAATAAAAATTATAATAAAAAAATACCAAAAATATAATAATAATAACAATAATAACCATAAATAAGTACAACAATTTAAAGAAAAATCAAGTGACTAACAAAATATGTATGATGTGTTATCAAAGTAAGAGAAACAATTAAGACCCTGCAATTGTGTGTAAATGAGGCAGAAAGTCAGATCAGCAACCTGGGACTTGGTCACAATTTTCGTGATGCCATATGGCAGCAGGGTCTACCATTTGACAACACATTATGCTTCCAATATCTTCCCAGGCGGTAGTACCTCCCTGTTTGGTAGCTGCCTTCTACCTCACCTAACCTAGCCACTGCCTCCCTACATCCTGGACAAGAGTACTATTGGTTTCGTGACAAGCTTCCAATATGAAATTGAAACTTAACCTATAAATAAAACTGACAACAAAGGTAAAGAAAAAGAAAAAAGAGCTTGGTTTAGTTGAAGGAAAGAGAAATCCCTGAAGTAGTATTAACTGAATATTGCCAGTTGGTCCTCACTTTTCAAATTATTAATGTGGAGTTTCAAGATACACTGGTTACAGGCACTTAGCTTAAGGGAGTTTAATTGGGCTTGGTGTCTGTCAGTGTATTGGGCACCTCAGTTTTCAGGGTTGACAAGTCTTTATTAACTGGCATTTTGTTTGACTATTCAGAGACTCATTCTTCCAGACCACATATTCCTGATTAAGAGAGTCGGCTTAAAAAATTCAGATTTACATCAGAATTTTGCATAGGGAAAAGAAGAGATTGTGTGAGGAAAACAAACTCCTCATCTGTATGTTGCACAGCACAAGGAACTTCTTATTGCCTTCATTTTTAAGTTTACTGCTCTCCCTTTCATGGGTTGGTGTGAACTGTTTGCAAGTTATAAATGAAGCTTTGATCTTGAAAACCCATTTCCTAATAGCCAGATTTCATTGGAGGTAGCTGGACTGAGGGCCTGTTACTGTTAATTAGTTTACTACAATGTCCATTGAAGTACAGTCTGCATGGTGGAAAGAATGAGCTGCACAGTATTATGACTCCTTATACTCCACGTCTTAGGCAAACTGTGAACCCTAATCTGTTACTGTTGTATGATAGTGCTAAAGAGAGGGAGTAACCTTCTGATCACTTCTAGTTGCATATGGCTCAGGAGTTTACTGGGAAGACCCTGAAATTTTTTATGGAAAAATTATTAAATGTTATGACATGGGTTTTTAGGACCAGACTATTACTGTATTTCCCTTAAACTCATACCCGGTATCTTTTTTTTTTTTTTTTTTTTTTTTTTTTACAGGATTAGCCCACCATGGCACAGGTCAATGACCCACATCGGGGCCTTGGGGCAAAATTATAATAATATTAATAACAAATATAAATGCAAAAAATATTAAATAAAAATATAATATGATAATAATAATAATATTAAAGGACCATAAATAAATAACAAAAATTAAAAAAGATTAATAGTGAGAAACGATATATGTATGTTGTGCTGTCAAAGTAAGAGAAACATTTGAGACCCTGCAATTGTATGTAAATGGGCAGAAATTCAGATCAGCAACCTGGGACTTGGTCACTATTTTTGTGATGCCATATGGCAGCAGGGTCTACCATTAGACAACACATTATGCTTCCAATATCTTCCCAGGTGGTAGTTGCAGTAATTCTCCTTTTAAATTTATAAGCCTTCATATCTCAAGGAAGAAATGACTGTAGTGGTTGACATGTTGATAATGCTGTCAAAATGTCTCTGTTGTAGGGTGCAGTAGCATTACTGTATCAACATCACTTAGCATTTGTTACATCATGAAGAATGCTAAATGATTCCCATGTCTGGCTATAATTTGATGAATATTTGTAATCCTTGATTGTTTCTTGGGTCAACATTGTACAAATCCAGTTTTATTGAATTTTACCTACATGTGGAATTGCTTCAAATTCATGTTAAAATGCTGCGTCAATATACAGTATACAGTATATGTAGGTGCAGTATATATATCTTCATGAAAGGTAGAACTCAAGGATAGTTATTTAAATTTACTTTATATCATACCGGCACTCTAGTTATACTTAACATTTTGTGACCTTTCTTTCCAGTTGGAGTTTAAACTGAAGAGTTCTGATGAAGAGGAGCGTTATGGGTCAGTCTCTTTACTTGCTCGTATGTTCTCAGAAAAGGATTCAACTCTGGCACTGAATCATAGACAGTTGTGGACTGCTTTTCTGGGGAGGTAAGTACAGTAATCCCTATTGATACTTTTTTTCTATTCCTCAGGCCACTGATTGAGCAAAGAATATGGTGGGTTCTTCCATCCATCTGTCAGTAATGCTCAGGATATATAAAATACGTAATTCCTTTACCTTGCTAATTTACACTATGAATCACCTGGCACAAGTTACAATTGTGTAAACTGTAAGGTATTAATGTAATACTTTTTCAGTGAAATATCTAGTGTCATAAGGTTCTGTTTGTTGAAAAGAAAATATAGTTAATCCAGTTACTACTTTCCTCCAAACCAATTTACAGCCTGAGAGAGGCATCACCAGCCTTGATCAAACATGAGACAACACACTCGTACGAGTACATAAAAAACTGAACAGAAAATAATTTTTGCATATCTGCTTACTCCTGAGGGAACAACCCAGCATACTCCTCAACCAGTACCACAAATAGATCTTCCTTAAATCCCCGGGCCAGACTCCAATGCATTACAAATTGTGCATTCAGTCATCCCCAAGTGCTGACATGCTAATTTGATTTCAAATCTGGTCTTTTAGTAATATTATACAACACTTACATGACAGAAACAGTCTTATCCTTAGAAATACTGAGGAACCCTTAAAGCTGTAGGGATCAGGCTGGTAGTAGCAGTAATGACAGATGCACTTAGCTCTATGCCTCTCCTGGTGCTGCTGGTGAGCCACCTGGACAGTGCAGAGTTGTGGCTAGAACTTACATGATTAAATCTCATGGCTGACCCAGTTGACAGGTGCAAAATAAGTCCCTGTTACTAATATGTAATGGTTAACCCTTTAGAGGACAGGAGTTTCTCTCGGCTGAATAAAATCGTCTCGCATTAGCCAAAATAAAATGTCAAAGGGCTACATTACCCTCTAAAGGGTTAACACGAGTTAATGTGGAAGTCAACATAGGCAGGACTTGGTCATAAATGTTGCTCATGTTTATGTATAACTTGCAGTATTCCTAAGTTTACAATGTTTATTTTATGTTTCAGATTTAATGACATCAGCATCAAGATTCGTACAAAGTGTGTCCAGTATTCTATGCACTTCTTATTAAATCATCCCCTGCTACGAAAAGACATTACAGACACCTTGAAACTCAGACAGCACGACTCTGAAGAGAGTGTGAGGTAAGTTGGCTTTTTTTTCATCAACACTGTTTATTATATGAAACTTCATTTTTTTTACTAATACTTTTTCAATCCTTTTCTCACAACTGAGGAGACTGACCTGAGTGAACAGTAACAGTCGTTATTTGTTTATTCTACGTGCTATTTCAGACGTGTTCTGCTATGGTGGTCCTCAGACCAAGGTCAAGTTGTAACTACTGGTCATCGGGACAAATAGCTCTTGTGGGCAGATCAGTCAAATATCTGTTTTCTTTTATACTGTACTTAGCTAAAATAAGCATTTAGAAAATAAGCAAAAACTGATTTTCTTCTCTACGTGTTTGCGAATACCTTTACATTGTGTAATGATACTTTTACACAGTGATAGGTGGTAATGGGATAACAGGGTGAGTTAATGCATACCGTACAGAGCATCTGCTCTATCATAAAATTGGGTAAGGCATTCTCTGTTTTAGGAGCTTCACTCTTGGGTCCTCTGGGATTATTTTGTATTTCTGTCTTAAAAGTAACATTTAAATAGGTAAACCTCTTTGGGGCTATTTATGTTTTGGATGCATGCTACTACATTCCTATTTTCCTGACCTGCATAGAATGCATATAGTTTTCATAGGGAAGACATTAGCCACCAGGGCACATATTGTCCAGTGTTTACATGTTTATGTGGGACTTTGGGTCCAAGAGGTAATCTTTTCTGGAGACTTCAGGAAAATCCCAGAACTGTATGTTGAGAGAATTAGAGAGGACTGAACTCCTGATCTGGTGAATTCAGAAAGTCAACTCATTGTGGGGCTTGTTTGAAAACCTCCCTCTCTGCCCCTGGTTTCATGGGTAGTTGTCAGGAACTGAAACATGTGATTGACTTGACCTGAGTTTGTTTTAATTCATCTGTGGTGGGTTCAAATTGCTCCGATTTATAGACAGCTGAGCCAGTTGTTTAAGCAATTGAGTGGTGAGATGGTCATAGCTCTAAATAGACCTTCGGTTCTCTGGAACAACTGCTGTGCCTTATTTGAGGCCAACATCACAAGGGGGAAATGAAAGATAATTAGTTTATCCAAGGGATTAGAGATTAATTAGACAAACATTGGAAGAGTCTGTTTGATGAATTCAGGGATTTCCTGATAAGTCACCCAGTGTGTTTAAGCTGTCTGGCTTAAATATTTACTAGAAAAAGGGCATGTTGTGATTAATCATCCATTTTGTAATTTTCTAACAAGTAGAAAGAGGATCAGCCCTAAACCTCCTGGGGTGATGCCACAGAGGATGGGGTCTGTATCCCTACACCTTCCCATGAGTGGGTATTGTGGTCAATATTAAATGCAGTGTTATGTGATGTACAGTCTCATTCAAGATTCTTTGAACACTGCTGGAGACAGCTGGCAACTCAGGGCCATTTGTTTACTATACTACGTAGTTAAAATTATGAATGAATGTAAAAGTGATCGGCGATTGGTTACTTAGTTCCCCGTTGCTTAATTAATGGTTGGGCTTTTACATTCATTCATAATTTTTACTACGTAGTATAGTAAACAAACGGTCTTGAGTTGCCAGCTGTCTCTAGCAGTGTTCAAAGAATTTTGAATGAGACTGTACATCTATTTGTCTTCATTGTTATTGTAAATGTATCATAGTTTTCAAAGAGACATGAAATGTAAGTGATGATGCAGGAAGCAAAAGAGTCATTCTGGAAAATGAATACTTCAATTATTTGTGTAGCATTTATTCTACAGACTATTTTGATGAGGTAAAAATACATCCTCCTAATATATCTTGTGTGTGTGTCTTGACAGATATGAAGTTGTGATGGCCATTGTATCAACTGCCAAGAAAGACTTCAGCATAGTGTCAGACAGTGAAGATCTCCTTAATTTTGTAAAGGAGAGAACACTTGATAAAAAGGTTAGTTTTTTATCACTTAAGCAAAGCTGCAGGGCATAGGTCTGTGTTCAGTGAGGGTTAGCTGAATATGTGTACAGTATAAGCAGTATATAATTTATTTTAGTTGTTTAAAAGTCTGGACCCATAACCACACTTTCTCTTTTTTGACATTTTGCTGTTTGTTTATTTTACAGTTCAAGATTCGTAAGGAAGCCATGTGTGGTTTAGCAATGATATACAAAAAACACCTCAATAGTCCAGATGTTCCACCAGCCACCCGCCACGCTGTCACCTGGATCAAGGATAAGATTCTTCATGGCTACTACATGACCAGCATGGATGACAGGTGACCACCCTCATGCTCATTCACTTTGTTTTATTCTGTACTTCCGATTTATGCTTGTTCAGTAGAATCTTATTCATATTAGCATTTTGGAATTCCAAGTTATTTTATCATTTCTATGATAGTTCGTTAGTAAAGTAAATAGCTACCGATAGTGAATGATGGTCTAGTTTGTTGAACACAATGAACGTTGATGAGTGTTTGTGCTTCAGTGAGGTTATTTTTAAATCATTGGATGAGGGAATGTACACTACCACTTCAGGACATTTATTCTCTTGTCAGAAGTCTGTTATATTCAATTAAGGAAAAAAATTTAATTGGTATGAGAACATTTGTATTATCCAATACCTGTCAGGACAGTCATTTTGCTGCAGGTGACATAAAGGTGTGAGCTTAACCAGTTTCTGTTTGGTTTTGTAATTAATTGGTGAAATTTTGTATGCAAATCACCCATAACTTTTTTATTATGCCAAGTATTGTTATAAATATTAAAAGGGGATTTAGAAAAATAATGTTACTGTAGAAAACTTAGACTCTTATCTTCCTACAGATTACTTGTGGAACGTCTCTTAAATACATGTCTGGTACCATATCAGCTTCCCCCAGAAGACCGCATGAAGAAGCTGTTTTATCTGTATGCCTCTATTGATGACAATGCTACCAAAGCCTTCATAGAACTTCAGAAACACCAGTTGGCCGTGAGAAAAAATGTTGCCGAGCTTATTGAGCTTCACCGAAAGCCTCAGGATGAGGAGCGAGACCGTGAAATTGCTTACAGACTTGGCCACCTCACTAAGTTCCTTCCTGACCCTCTAAAGGTTCAGGAGTTCCTAAGAAAGTTTTCTCAGAACCTTAATACTGACCCACAGTTATTGTCACTTATGGAAACTGTTGTCAGTCATGATGTTTCGTGCAAAGACAGTGTAGAAGCCGTGGTGAGTGTCTTGTCAAGTATTGTTTTCCACAATTTTGTTTTTTGAGTCGTGTTTATATTCATGGCCCTTACATTTTTTCCAGGTATTAAATTTAAATTCTGTATGCACTTTAAAGCACCTGAAGTCACCATTAAGGCAACTTGGTCCCCTGAAACTTATTCTGCCCTTATTTATTTCAAAATAAAAAATCAAACATGAGTGTGCATGCGTGCACCAATTTTGTTGAATTGGGTGAATTCAACGAACATCGTCCACATTCTGGAATTTTCCTTGGAGTTTCAGTAATACCTGAACCTGCTACACGAGTTCAAATTCTGAATTTATGAATGTCAAATTAATGAGGGATCAGTGTACAGGGTATATTGATTTTTAGGAAATAAAGTAGAGTGTACTGTACAATATACTGTAACTTTTTTATTTTTTATTTTTCATTTATTCATTTTATTTATTTTTTATTTATTTATTTATTATTATTAATTTTTTTTTTACTTCTGGAGTGCTTTAAACTTTGCCTAACTACCCATCTTGTCTTTCACCATCTGTATCAATAGTGTATCTTATGATAATGTTTTAAGACATTAGGTATGTTTTTTTTTCTAAGGTTTTGCTTTACTGTATCACACACAGACACAGATCCTGAAGAAGCTCGGGCAACCAGTGATGACCAACTTGTATTATAACACCATCAAGATGTTGCTGGAGCGTGTGTCTAGTGTCATGGTGGACCAGACAGCACTGGAGGCCCTTGTAGGACTAGTAGAGGGGGCTCTTAGTGCAGACACAAGTGTGCTCGACTCCCTCAACCTCACCTCCGACATTGCTACCGAAAAAGGACTAAAGCTGCTGTTTGTAAGTCTTACTCGTGGTTTTATTTTTACATCATTATTTAATTGGGGAGTATCGAGGGCCTCTGGTGAAGAGAGGCTAACTCTTACTTAACTTCAGAGAGTAAAGATTCTGTGACAACCTTGAAGAGCTGACTGGGTGTTAACTTTATTTGGTATACAGTATAGTCTTGTTTTACGTGGTCAATTAAACCCATGGAGGTCCGCGTATAACGCGTAAACGAAATAACAGAACATATGGGATTAGTTGAAATAGAGACTGGGCCGACCCCCAGACTACCCTTTTCCCGACACAATACATACATTGTAGTAAAAATAACATCTTAATTTTATGATGGTATGCACACACAATATATAAGAGAAATATCAATAATATTAGGTTTTTTAACAGTCACGTTAGTAGAAGAGATGGCTGGGCACACAGGGATGGGGGGCTGGTTCTGAGGCAGAGGGCAGATTAGTGGCCCTCGGGTGTATCACTTGCATCACCTTTATCACTATCCACCACAGAGGCTAGCAGGGCCTCCATGTCAAACCCCTCAAAGTCCATATCCTCACTATCACTGACTTGGGCTGACTGTGGCTGTGGTGGGTTGCGGGTGCAGAACTCAGTAATGTTTCATTGACGGCTAGCATTGATGTGGTCGTGATACATCTGGACATACGGCTCCATAGATTTCAACAGAAGGTTATTTGACACTTCATATCGATGACTGACTGGGTCTTTGGCAAGGATGAGTTTGATTTTCTCAGCAAACTCAATGACCTCCTTCACATCACCATGTGTTAGTTTCTGTTCTTGTTCTTCCGTAACACCTGGCTGCTCACTGACGTCATCATCTTCTAACATCTCGTCCGCAGTCACCTCAGGTTGCCTGATTACCTCCAGGATGTCATCATTGGTGATCTCGGAGAAGCCTGCAGCTCTAACACTTTGTGCAGCCTCTCTTGCAATGTCCAATGCCACAGCAACAGACTGAGCCTCACCAGCCACCGCTTAACTCTGCCTCCCACCTGGGATACCCTCCAACACAGGCCGCCATGCGTGACGAATCGTTGTCACAAACAGCTGCCCCCATGCCTCCACCAAGAAATCAACAGCTTTCTTGACATTAAACAGTTTCCAGAACTGCTTGACTCGCACTTCATGGTCCGCCAAATCTTGTTCTGGATCCTCGCTCTCGCCATCGGTGCCACTCAGAAGGTTCTGCAATTCATCCTTGGTGTTGGTGAAGTAGTTCAGGAGCCGTAACTTCTTTGCGGAGAAAGCAGCCTTGACGTTGGATATCAACTCCTGATCCATGGGCTGGATTAACGACATAGTGTTAGGGGGAAGGAAGACTGCTTTTACATTGGGGTGACGATCCAGCAATAGGGGCGAGTGTCCTGGTGCGTTGTCAAGGAGCAACAAAATGTTGAATGGAACATTATGTTGCTCGCAGAATTTCTTCACAACAGGAACGAAACAGTTGTCAAACCATGAAAGGGACAGACCAGTGAATATCCACGCCTTCCCTGAGTTTAGCCAATGGACATTTAACTTGCTCTTGTCCATATTTTTGTAGGCATGCGGCTTGCGGGCTTTGTGGATCACAGACAACTTCAGCTTACAAGTGCCTGAGGCATTGGTGGTGAACTGAACGGTGATGCGCTCCTGCAATTTCCGGCCCCGACACTTGCTCGCAGACTTGACTACAAAGGTCTTGGATGGCAATTTCTTCCAAAACAACCCGGATTCATCCATGTTGAACACTTGGTCGTCGATGTACTGTCCTTCCTCCATAATTTCTCGTAAGAATGGGGGAAAATTCATGGCGGCAGCCACTTGCTCCTTCACCAACAGTTTAACGTTCGTGATCTTATTATGACGTTCGAACCTTGCAGCCACCCAGCGGAAGCAGTGAAGGGTTTTGGGCTCTGCAATTCCCATTTTTCGCGCCACTGATAGGTACAGTTCTCTCGCGTAGTCCTGCATTGCCCGAGTGTCGACCGACATGTTCCTTCTTGACTGACGAATCAAGTACCTGACCAATAAACTTTCAGTCTTGAGCAGCACCTTATTGTGGCAATATTTTGCCATCGACGCACCTGCAGACTTTGTGATGCTCATGTGTTCTTTTATCTAGCCGGCATCCTTCTTGATGGTGAGGATCGTCGATTCATTAACTCCATATTGTCGGGCGAGATCCACCTGTCTTGTGCCTTTCTCTAACTCCTGGACGATTTTGTACGTCACTTCATAGCTTAAGGCGCGTCGTACCTTCTTGGGCTTGGGCCAAGTAGTTCAAGGTTTCTCGGGTGTGGTGGGGGTCCAGCGGAAGCCATTGTTGAGCAGATTAGTGGGCACGAGGGAGCACTGTATACGCAGAGAAGGAGGACAATGGGACTAACGCTTCTAAGGTCAGCAACTTATTCCCTCTGGTGGCAGGGCACGCCAAGTTAAATTAGACCAATCACAGCTCGCGGCGGAGGGGATTTGTGGGTGGTAAGGATGCGTGGCCCAATCACAGTCTGATACGTCAGCGGTGATGTAAGAGCGTAACTAATAATTGGCGCGTCTGGACAGGTGCCGCATAAATGACCAACCGCGTAAAAAATCCGCGTAAACCGAGACTATACTATACTGAGACAGTGAAGATATTGTTGCTCTCACCCACATGTATGGTTGTAAAATATCTAGCAATTTTCATCCGGGTAGTCAGTGTTGAAAATGAGAATAAAATTTGGTATACATAATTGGGGAAGTGTTAATGAGTACCAAGCTTTTGTTGATGGATAAGAAGATTATGGCAAACAGTGTGTATTATATTTATTCATCAGACCATTATTAGCATTCAGCTTGTACATTGCAAACAAAACTGCAGGGTGGGGGTGGCAGCAATGTAGGTACATCACTTACCTCTTGTTCTGGAGAGTTGTTGGGTTGTAGCCAGGGTGTTTTCAGTCCACCCAGCTGTTAATGGGTATCTAACTTTACTGTTTGAGTGCATTGCCAGCCACTCTCCCTCCATGTGTATAAAAGGCTTAATGTACAGTGTGCTGTATTCACACTCATTTTCCACAAACAAAGTACTACTGATACTGAGATGCTGCCCATCTTATATTCTAGCATTGGTACTTCATCATAACTAAACAGTAAAAGAGTTATGGATAGCACCTCTGTTAGCTGCACTCACTGGTGTCAACAAAATTTTGTTATATTTATTTCCCTAGAGCTTTGTTGTAATCTTGTGGCTGAGAAATGTGACAACATATAGATAACTGTAGGTCCATGGTGTTGAGGATTAAAGGTACCTTTAAAAATAGGATATTTCTCTGTGTATTAGCCTTTTTAATTTTAGTTCAAAAGCAACAACTGGAACAGGTGCTTCTTGCTTGTTGTTAAAATTTCACCACATGAAATTTAGGAGGATAATGTTGTCAATGATGACTTGATTCACCTGTGGTTACATAATGAATGTAAGCATATACCGTATATGATACTTAAAGTGATTATTCCACAGGTGTTATCATTTGTGTATCCAGCTCACTTCTTGCATGCGGACATCCTGACGCGACTCATTGCCCTCCTCAACGTGCCAGATTCAACAATATCCCCACCAGTCCTTTCTGTTCTTACCTACATAGGCAAATATAAACCTATTGGTAAGTAGATCTGTAGATAATATCTTCTTGTACCATATCATGTTATACTTCCAGAAAACTCTTGATATGATTTTAAAAGCAAATGTCCAGGTAAGAGCAATTGATATTTATTACCTTAATTTAGAGCTTGTTGGTATGCCTCTTGTAATGTAATAAAGATATATTATAATTGTAAAGACTCAACACACAGCCAAATAGTAATCATTTTCCATCCATCTACCAGTGTCCGCTTTTACTGTTACCACCAGAGCTCATGAAAAATTTCAGCAAGTTTTACCTTAAAACACCACAGACAGCATGATACAGTAGTTATTGCTCCCTGTATCTCTTTCCATTCACTTGTGCCCATGGCTACTTGTTACAAATGTACTGTATATTATGAAGCATTACAGTTATGTGTACTGAATATACAGTATATCACTTGACATTGTTCACATACGTGGTTTATCCTGTTGTGAAATATGTCAGGCTCTCTGGCGGTAGTTAATTTCTTCCTCAGTCATGAAATAGGTTTACCTATATATATTAGTCTTTTCTTTCCTTCCTGACTGTAAATTCTCTTTCAGGGGAACCATATCCAGATCTTGCATCAGTGCTTATTCCAATTTGTCAGCGGTTTGCAGAATCAGGTACCCCCAAACAAGCTAAGCATGCTGTACGATGTCTTCACACAAACTGCACTTCAGACTCAGATGAAGTGTTTGAAAGGATATTGGAGGTTGGTTAGAAAAATTTTAATTTTGATAACCATTTTATGTTGCTTGGTGGTTTAATTGACTTATAAGTCATTGAGGCCTACATGTTTATTACTAGAACCACAGTACCACACTATAATGTATAATACTACATCTATCATTTTGTAATCCTTATAAAATTTTCCTTTAACAGAAAATCAAAGAACAGCTGACATTTGATAGCGTACACTTCAGAACAGCTGTTGTGTCCTTGGGTCACATAGCTTTCAACATGCCTGACAAATTCCTAATACCCATAAAAAATGTTGTATCAAGAAAGGTGAGTCTGGTGTCACTATGTGGGCTGTTATTAGTCTAAGTTAAACTAAAAAAATCTGTAATTCATTTAATACATAAAAAATAGGAGGATTAGTGTGCACTCATTACATGATAACTAATTTTATTAGTCATGCATTCAATATATATTTTTTTAATGAATTAAAAACTGAAAGAGAATAAATTCCTAGATCAAATTGGGTTTAGAGGGGGAAGAGGAACTAAAGACTTGATCTTTGGTTTGAGAGTTTGAAGAGAAAACACTTTACAGGTATAGGCAGGACCAGATTAAGGAGTGACTGTTCCAATCAAATGGATACCTGGTTACAATTTTATTTGCAGGTACACTTACTCCAAAAAGTATCTTTGTGATTTTGTGTGAGACAATATGACACAATGGACAAAGAATTTAAAGTCAACAGGAGTCGATGTGTTCATTTTCAAATTCATCAGATCTCTCCGTAGATACTTTTTGAAGCGAGTGTACACTTTTTATTTATTAAAAAGGCTTTAAACATTAGCAGAAACTGCTGATATTATTACCAACTTCTTGGGGGTATCCATGTCATAAACTTGCCATCTACTTTCAGCCACATGTGCATCATCAGAGGTGCAGCCAGACACTTTTTTCTGTTCATGTTTATGTTAAAAGAAATAATTATCTTCTTGAAATTTTTTAAACAAACGAATCTCCCTCTTTTTCTGTCTCACTTTCTCTTTTCTTCTTAATATAAAATTTTAATATACACTCTCGTAACACAATTTCCAGGTTGTTAAAGAGTTGTTAATGCGGAACCAAACCAGTGCACACACCCCGGGCCCTCTCCCAAGAGATGATGTTGAAGAGTGGATCGAGGAGGAATTGTTGACTGAGGAATCATCAGTTAAAATGGAGGGCATCAAAATGATGGCAAGATGGCTTCTAGGACTAAAGTCTGACGTGATCTCAGCGCAAAAAACGTTCCGTATGCTAAATGCCTTCATCCTTCACAAGGGTGATTTACTAGAAACTGGTAAAATGCTGTAAGTATATATCAGTAAAAATTTTGAAAAATGGTGTGTTGGTCAGAGTTATATATACAGTGCTAAAGCAATAGAAATATGAAAAATTACAGTGTATTATTTAAATTAGAGAATCTCAACTTCATATTCATATTGTGTAATGTGTTATCTGCTCTTGTTTATAATGACTTAAAGAACTGCTCCTCCCTCTGGGGTTGACCATGATAGAAGAGCCTCCATGTCAAACTACAGATTTTTTACAGCTGTCAATGTCACTTTCCCCTTATTCCCACACCAAATTTTTCAATAGTATTTGCTCCACTTTCCCGTACGGTACGTTAGGTAGGCAATTTCCTTCAACTCCCTGTTCCAGCTACACTCACACTGCTATACTCAAATACCCATATCATATTGGAGAACCTCTGCCCCCATTCCATCACTCTTACAGTTCACATTCTTGGCTCTCGTTCATCCCATACTCTTCACTTCTTTCTTTCTGTAGTCCCCCAGATGTAATCTCTCAAATATCTCACCCTTGTACCTTTTATTCAGAGCATTGTGGTTCATCCAAGCATATATTACACTGCCATATGTCAAGGTAGGATGGATTGCACAATACCTTGGCTACTTACCTCGAAGCTTGCGTTCCTTCCCTTAATGATACATCCCAACTCTCCAATCACACTCTTCAGTATATTGATCTTGCCCTGATTTCCTTTGCCATTTCTCTCTCTCTTATTGAGTATCTTCCCTAGATAATTGAATTCCATAATCTGCTTCAGTATTTCACTCCCTCACAATTTATGTTCCAGTTTAGTTGGTTTTTCTTCTTTATACTTATTTTCTAGCATGCAGCTATATCTTTAGTTACCTTCCCTCACACACACTCAGCCAAAGTCATTCACCAACGTATGTACGGTAATCATTATTCACTCTCCAGAAAAGTGCATCATCATCATCATCATCATTAAGACTGGCTTCATCCCACCATCCATTTCCAGTTCTTTTCCCTGCACAAAAACTACCACTGCCTTCATTTCCCTCACCTTACCATCCATATACAGTATATGTACAGTACTATTATTAAACAACAAGGGAAGCATAACACAACCCTGCTTTACCCCTACTCCCCCGCCCCCCTCAGTGTTTTTACATATATTCTGTGTACCCCCCAAGCACACCCTCCTAGTCTTATAGATTGATATAACCACCACTGTGTATTTGTGTGTACAGGCAGTCCCCGAGTTATGAACGCCCGACTTACGAACACCCGCACTTACGAACGGGATCCCAATATATTCAGCACAAAAATCAGTAACTAAAATCCCATTTTTTACATTACTTTCATTATTCTATATTGTTTAACATCACTTTATTTGCAGTATTTATATTACAGGCAATGACCGTTACATGATGGATCTATATATTCTCGATCAGTTTTATGATGTTAAAGAATTAACACCATTTACCGCTACTGTATGTGATGGCTAAAGATCAGTTTTATGATGGTTGCTACCTGATTGTTTTTCACTGCTATGAAAAAATTATGTGCAATAACTGCCAATATTCTGAGATATGACGATGCAATCTCGGAGTGGGGTAACTCGTGCGACCCACGCGGGAGGTTCTTCTTGTTCCCGGTTACTGCCAGGCTAAGCAATTGAACTGTGTCACTCACATTGCCCAAAGGATGATTTGCATGTGGAAGAAACTATTCTTTATTCATGAGGTAATATATACTGTACCAGTAAATGTGACAAATAAATAGAAATAATATTAATAAATAGAAAATATACTGCGTTGCCATTTGGAAATCGTATCACTATGCACATGACACAAAACAGTGAGCCGAGATCCCCCACGCATTCTCCCTCCTCCCCCGCTATATGTGTTAAGCCCTGCACACGTAAGAAATGTTTAGTCCCTTAATGTTTTTGGCTTTATGATAAATATTTATTTATTTATTGTGCACATTCTAAATGAATGATTGTGTGTCCATGTAACAGTAAAAAAAAAATAAGATAAAGAAGAAGAAAATTACAGTATGTATATCTACCCAAAAATACAAGTTGAAAATTTACAATAGCGTAGGTCACAGTTTGGCAGGAGGCTGAGATACCTGTACCTCACCCCCTTCCTGCTCCCATGATTCACACTAATTCATGGGACATAAAATTTTTTATTCTCTTTATGTTTTTTACCTTATTATAATCATTTATTTAAATTTTTCACATTTTGTATGAAAGATTGTGTGTGCATGTAACAAAGTTTAAAAAAAAATAGGAAATTATGAATATCGACCCAAAATTACTTGTAGGGACAGCTGGGGGATCACAACTTACTACTGTACTGTACAAGTACATATCTTGTAAGGTAAATGAAAATAAATATTTATTTTGTATAAATTTATTGAATTTGTCTTTATTTTGTATAAATTTGTTGATTTCATGTCCATTATTTGAGTTATTTCGTCATTTTAGTAGCAGGATATAAAACTTGTTTGGACTCTTCAAGGGTTCAGGAACAGAACCTATTTTCCTTGTAAGTTACAATCGATCACTAATTAGTGGCTTTTTTAGACCTCTTACCCATCATATAATGGTCATTGTCTGTATTTGGTATGTATGGGATACTACTGTTGTTTTGTATGGGCAGGGTTGTACTTTATCCTAACCTAAACTATGAAATTAACACTGTTCCGACTTACGAACAGGGTCCAAGAATGTAACCCGTTCGTAACTCGGGGACTGCCTGTATCTTGATTGATTTAGTAGTACTGTACCATTATATATGATACTGAAGTAAATTAGTTTATATTTTAACTTTAAATGACTGATAAAACTATTACTGTACTTGATTTTAAGAAATGAAAAGCTAGAGTTTGTGCTCAGTGGAAATGAAGTGTAGACTACATTAAGTTAGGAATGTGAATGAAAACACATTAAGTAATGGTTGTTTGTTTTAGAATCTTGTAGTTTGGTGTACCTGAATGACATTTATTTAGTTGTAAATTAGTTCAGCTTGGTAGATGGATGAGTGTCATACAAGTACTGTAGTACTTAGCTTTTTCCTGGCTTGAACTTAGTTGATGATGTTCCCAATATATCTATACAGTCCATATTGTTGTTCCACCACAGGAAAGCAGAAATGGCTCATCTAAGACTATCTGCTGGTGCTGCAATGCTCAAGATTTGTGAGCAGAAGGGCGTTGGTGACCAGTTTACCTCAGAGCAGTTCTACAATCTCTCTCTTCTCATGAATGTAAGATTATCGGGTAACTAGTACATAATTCATTATTTAAAATCATTAAGTTTCAAGTGAATTTAGTATTTAATTTTTAAAGATTCATTATGAGAATATTATGCAAAATGAGTTAGTTCAGGTGTTTCTTTCCATGGTTGCAGACTTAGCATTGGCATCACAATATTGAATAGAATTGTCATCACATTCTCAGTGGTTTTTCATAGAAACCGGACTGTTTCAAATATTCAAACCAAAGGGGGATATCTAATATATATACCTAATCTCTAATTGTCATATGTTATGCTAATACCAGGTGGCTGATGCCCTGAGTTAACTCATAAATGCCTCTCGGTATATTAAACAAGTTTAACTTGAATGACCTGTAGGTCATATTGTCAGGGCACAACATCAGGTGTACCTCCCCTTATCCATCATAAAGAAAATAATATAACATTCTTCTGTTTCTACATAAAAGAAAAATGGTTGACAGTTTACTCTCTTGTAAAACTTGTGAATACTGTCCGTTATACATACAGTGTGCTTATTTACCTGGTTATTAATTTTGCAGGATGAGTGTCCACAAGTTCGTGAAAGGTTTGCCATCAAGCTGCACAAGGGTCTGGCTCGAGGGATTCCACACAAATGCCTGCCTCTTGATTTCATGGGGTTCTATGCCTTGGCTGGGCTAGAACCTGACCGACAGTTGAAAATAGCAGTTAGGCAATACATGATGGCTGACATTAGCAAGAGAAGAGATTATATTAGGTCAATCACTATGTCAGGAGGAAGTAAGTCCCTATCCCATGTTTTGAAATGTTGATGGTTCTCACTTATGAGTTTATAGGAACATTGTAACCTTGGGCAACTCGTATATTATATACTAACTAAGTCAATGTGTCAAGAACCCAGGCACCTTTGAGATCAGAGACTTGAACCAGTTTTCTAATTAATTCTAATTAGTTTATAACTTCCTAGCATACTGAGGTATCTAAAGGTACTGCTTTGTATACAGAGGGTACCAGACTAGGCTGAAGGCTGGGGGATTATGGCTTTGCAAATTTCCAGTGAGTCAGTAGGGTAAAACCTGTGTGTCGGGTGTGAGTCGGTGCTTTACACACACATTAGACAACCATAACCTTCAAGGTTCATGATGATTGTTGGCTCCTGAACTGTTTTGGCCTTAGTGATTGTCAAGCTTGGGGTAGAATATTGGTAGACCACAGTCCCTGGGTACCATAGTTAATTCTTAGAACATTTAGAATCCAGATCTCAAAACTTAGGGGTACTACAGTATTGCTATCCATTCATATTCCTTATTCTATAAATTTACAGTACATGTAGTCCCCGACTTACAACCGACTCGACTTATGTCCACCCGCACTTACAACCGCCTCAGTTGTACCAAAATGTGGTCAAATTATGTATTTTTCAGTCTCAAAGTCAGTACAAAGACAATATTTTCATCTGTAATTCACTTTAAAATGGCTGGCAAGCTTAAAAGTGAATGTTTCGTGGTGCTGAGAAGAACAAGAGACCCAAATTTTTTATTTTCTGTGTTATTTAAGCATTTCCGACTTTCGACCATTTCGACTTACGACCTGGATGTCGGTCTCTAACCCCGTCGTAAATCGGGGAGTACCTGTATATCTCTTGTTGTCATCCCCCCCCCTCTCTCTCTCTCTCCTTTCAGTGGATAGGAACTTAGGGTTGATCTGGGGAATGATGATTTATAACAGGGTCATGGAGTACACATACTAGTGTTAAAATAAGATTCATTACTTTCAGCCTTCGGTAATAAGTTTTGTCTCTAAAGCAACCTATTTAGATGGTTATTATGTGGTGGTAGGTTCTTAGAAACTCCAAGTACTTTCGTAATGGGAAAAGTAGTTTACACTCTTGGACGTTGCTGAACACAGAAACTAACCCTCAATGCAAATGTGGGTAGGATACAGCCTGGGGAGGATGCAGGGGTGGTGTGAGGGTTTCTGTATAAAGAATGTGGCTATGGAGGTTGACTGATTACTTGGTACCATACATCCTATCATAGTACTACAGGTTGTACCTCTCTAGTCCGGCAACCTCGGGACCTGACCAGTGCCGGACCATGGAAATTCACCCTCGAAACACCCTACATAAAGCATGAAAACATAAGATAGGAATTAATAAATAAGAAAAGGTAATACTTCTCACACAAGCTCTGTACCGATGCACCTTTATCTAATTTCTGCAACAGTTCAACCTTTTCCTGGATAGATAGTGACTTGTGCTTATGCTTGGAAGCACTAGCACCACTTTCACTGCTTCGTGGTCTCTTTGAAGACATATTGAAGGGTTAAATGCTGTACTCTGTATTAACAAACAGAGAGAGAGCCGAACTGCCGGATGTAAACAAACTTTGATTTCCAACCGCCACTCCGCCAACGCCATGTAGCGGCTATTGGGCAAACTAAAATAGTTCCGGACCATAGAATCCCGGACTAGAGAGGTACAACCTGTACTTGTAGATATATTTGATCCTGTCTGAACTTGATTAGGTGTTATAATAACAGTCCACCAGTCCTTCACCTCACTTACTAAGTATGAACCATCTGGACAATCCAATAATCTTACTTTGTAAAAAAAAATAAAAATAAATAAATACTGCTCATGTATATATAGTACAGTATTTATAAAAAAGAAATGTACAGGAAGCCAAAGAATATATAAAATCAGCAGAAAATATTATAGTATATGAATAACTTTTTTCTTGTAAGTGTGATATATGAATTATAGAAGTACTGTACATATACTAATAACTTGTACTTGTTTAGATGTTCAACAAATCTCTTTGCTTAAACAGGTGAGAAAGCATCCAGCCAACTGCCACACATCATGCCAGACTACATGCTGGTGTTCGCTGTGCCCCTTCTTGCCCACCAACCAGACTTTAAGGACCCCACTGATGTGTCCCAGTTAACTCGTATTCGCTCCTGTCTCTGGTACATCCTTGAACCTCTTATGACCAAGAATGATGTTTATTGTTTTGGGTTTTATAAGGCACTCATTGAACAGATGAAGAATCACAAAGATGCAGTGAAGCCAGAAGATGAAATAACAAATCAGGTTTGTAATGGCTGCTTTTTTAATTTATTGTATTATTTATTTATTTTAAGGAAATTGTTCCCCAAAATACAGTATATATTAACATGCTGGAGAAAATAATATGAAAATAATGAAGTTAAGTGTTAGTTCACACATTTAAGGTTGAGCATATAAACTTTTGTGTCTAAACAGATTTTTTAAAAGCAATGAATACCTGTAAAACTCAGAATACAAAGATCAGGTTCGTATAAACCTTGGAAAATTACTGAAACTGTAGTGTGTATGAAGTTGAGGAACTGGGAAAATAATGACCAATGTCAGTGTAAGTTTTGATAAGGTATGGAAATATGTGAAAGTGGGTCCTCCACAGTTTGGAAGATAAAGAGCCGACAGTTGGTATGGGGATGCACATTCACCCTAGAAGTGTCCAGAAGTTGGAATTTTTGGAGAGTTGGCTTTGTAAATTAGTTGGTTAGTTCGATCTTTGGAAATTGTAAAATATTTTTGTTGTAGTAATGGGAAAAGTACACAAAACGAATTTCAAAGTCAAAATTCTTAAAACCAGTCAATGGATTGTTATGTATTAATAATAATGAAGAATACTGGCACCTGAAGTACTGTACAGGTAGTTCTGCTATAACGCAATAATTGTGTTCTTGTAAAATATCGTGTTATAGAAAATCGCGTAATAGAAATAACAGGGCTTATGGAGAAAATAGGGTTAGGTGCAGATTACTCGAAATCGAAAAAATTTAGTAGTTAGCCTAACACAAAGGATAGCACAGTCTAAATAAATGTTACATTCATATCTAATAATGAAATCATACAGTAAATGTAACACTTTACTTGATGGGGGAGAAGGGTGATTTTGAGGTTGATAAAATCGAGCTACTCTTCAAGTGTTATATCCTTTCTTTTATGATCATCACCGGGAATTCTATCACCAGAACGCTTCTTGTTGATATTCTTCTTTACTATATTCACATTATTTAAATTTTATTTATTTTTTTTTTTTCTAATTTATTGTTTTTTTATTACAAATATTAATGATATTCTTTATTTCAGGGGTTTAGATGCATATTTATGCACTTTTTTACAATTTTTACAATTTTATATTATATTTTTCAGTGTTAAGTGGTTGTATTTGGGGGCCTGGAACGGATTAATCCTATAACGAACGAATGCTATAACGAACAAGGTTCTAGAACCAATTAGATTCGTTATAGCATACCCCACTGTACCACAAAATTGGAGAAATAGTAAGCAAAAATCGCGTTATAGCAAACAAGCGTTCGCGTTATACAAATATCGTTCCTAATTCACAAATCGCGTTAGAGCAAATTCGCGTTATCAAAACACGCGTTATAGCAGAACTCACTGTATGTCTCTGATGGAGTTAGTGACCTCATTAATTTTTATATTTTGTTTAATTTTGTAATGTTATTTTCAGAGCCATAACACCAAAATGGGATATAGAAATGTTATGCATTGTTTATGGACAAAGGCCATTTTTCTATTATTCCAAAAATTGTCAGAATGAACAGTTTAGCCAGGTGGGTGCCAATTTCAAATTCAGACCCGCCAATAGTTAATTTTTTCCCATGTTCCATAAATAAATAAAAAATAAGTACATTTTTAGAGTGGATAATGAATCCTTGTTTGAGGAACCTGGATTAGACTAGGTTCAACTACTGTTTTAGAATCTCAGATAACGGAGGTGTACTGCATTGATATGTGCATTCAGGTGGTACTGTACCTGGTCATATTTTCAATTACACAGATCGTTTGAAACAAATTATTTTTTGATATAGTTGGGTTTCCTCTACAGGTAAAATAAGAATTTCATTGTTTATTATAAAGTTTGTCATTTTTTTTTTTTTATGGTTATGATGAAAAACATATTCTTAATTCTCTTGCAGAAATTGTGGGCAGTATGTGACTTAGCAATGGGCCTCATTTTGTCTAAGACGACAAGTTTCGAGATGAAGGAGTTCCCCTCTGACCCCCGGATACCCCCTATGTACTTTAAGAAGCATGAGGATCCGAACTTTGTAAATGGTAAGCAGCAGTTAATTTATTTTGAGTTAGGGAATAGTTAGACTCAGAACTATTGCCATTCAGTGCTGCGGGCAGTTTAGGGAGACAAAAATTATAATAAAGGTGTTAATCATGATGGAAACAGTTAAGAAAGTAGATGACAGGAATAGGTGGAGAAAAATTTTAAGGTTTCAAGCTATACATATGAAGTTCCAAACTGAAGTCCTGGGAATTCAGTATATGTATGAAATATTTTTGTTCTAAATTTGCAGTTATCACTTATATTGAACTGTAATGTGTGTGTGTGTGTGTGTGTGTGTGTGAGAGAGTGAGTGAGTGAGAGACTCTAATGCCAGAAGTGGCAGAGAGGTTAACAGATGGCAGGGAACCATAGGAAGGAATGGACTAGGCAAGTGTAATCCCAATGGCCTACTCCTCAGCAAGTGTGCTGAACACAACCTCAATATCACCAACACCATACGTGGCTCGGACAACTGTGATACAAATCATCGGCTCATCAGAGCCAAACTCTCCCTTCACTTTGCCCCAAAACGGCTTTAACACCAAGCATCTGGAGGATCCAGTGGTAGCACATGCTTTCAGAGAGCTTCTCAACAATGGGCTGATAAACAACGCAACAACAAACAACCAAAATCCCTGTACCGAATGGGATCCCACTCGACCAGATCAAAATAAAACACCAGGATTGGTGTGATGAAAACGGCCCGGAAATCGAAGTACTCGTCAATAGTAAATGTGCTGTTCTCACTGACTGGCAGAACAACCCTTAGTCTCGGACCAAAGTTGATGCCTTCCATGAGGAAAAAAGCGGCGGTCCAGCATGAACTTCGCAAACTAATGAACTAATGGTGGAAAAATAAAGCGTGTAAAATGCATTTTTTTTGGGGGGGATTAACACAAGATGCATGAATATTTCAATTCCACTAAAACAGTATATGCTCCAACTACTGTACTCATGGCGTGGTCCCCTTCCGCTCATCCGACAGTAGCTCCCTAATTAAAGACAAAGAAGTCATCCGTCAGCGCTGGAAAGAGCACAACCATTCCCTGCTCAACCGAAACACCGATGTGGATGTCCTGACTACCCATCAGGTTCCTCAGCACCCAGAGCTGACCCTCCTCAGCTATCCTCCATCTCCATCCCCGGATGGGGTAACTACTGCCATCAAACAGATGAAAAATAACAAAGCCTCAGGGCCTGATGGAATCCCAGCTAAGGTGTACTCGTATAAAGCAGGAGGACCTCTGCTTACCAGCCGTCTCCACTCTCTCCTGGTTACGAGTATATGGGAGGAGGAGGAGGAGGAAATCCCCCAAGATCTATAAGACTCCTCAATCGTCAACATTTATAAGAATAAGGGAGACCAGTCAGACTGTGGCGGGATTTCACTGCTGTCCGTAGCTAGCAAGATTATCGCCCGAGTCCTCCGAAACAGACTTCTTCTTGAGGCGGAAAAGTTCCTCCCAGAATCTCAATGTGGCTTTATACCATCATGCGGTACCACTGAAATGACCTTTGCTGTCCGCAAGATACAAAAAAAGTGCAGAGAACAGTGTCGTGACTTGTACATGGCCTTCATTGGCCTTGCTAAGGCCTTCGACTCGGTCAACAGGGAAACCCTCTGGTGGACTCTCAGTTGTTTTGGCTGCCCACTAAAATTCATTGCCATTGTGCAGCAACTCCACGATTACATGAACAGCAGTGTGTTACACAATGGCACCCTTCCTTACTCGTACCAGTGCCAATTTAGCCAGCTGGGTGGACATCCAGTACCGGATGGGGGTCTTTTCAACATAAGACTACTCCAGGCAGGAACAAAGGTGTCGGCCGCTTCCATCACTGAACTTCAGTATACAGACGACCTCACACTCGTTGCTTACACTGAATGTGACCTCCAGGAGATCCTGAACACTTACACAGTTGAGCATGCACACTTCGGTCTTGACGTTAATGCACGTAAGACTCGGATTCTCTTTCAACCTGGCCCTGGTTCAACCATACCTCCACCATCCATCCAGCTGAACTCTGTCTAATGTTACCCACTTCCAGTACCTTGGCTCCCACCTGTCCACCATCGCATACATCGATGAAGAGATTCAACGTCGGATCAGATTTGCATCTCAAACCTTTGGCAGACTCCGTGCCCGTGTCTTCAGCTGTAGGGAGCAGAAATTATCCACAAAGCTGCATGTGTATTGAGCAATGGTCCTCCCCACCCTGCTGTATGGCAATGAGACATGGGTCACGTACAGGAGGCACCTCAAGGCACTTGAAATCTTTCATCAACGTAGCCTACGCTCCATCCTCCGAGATCGCTGGGAAGACAAGAGAACAAATGCCAGTATTCTCACTGACACCAACTGTAGGAGCATCGAGGCTACCATTATCCATGAACAACTACATTGGACTGGCCATGTTACCCACATGGATGACAGTATACTGCCAAAGCAGCTACTTTATGGTTTATCTAACGAATAGTAAACGTAATGCTGGCGGGCAACTGAAAATGTACAAGGATAGTCTTAAGACAAACCTGAAAAAATGCCAAATCAACCCCCTCACCTAGGAGATGATCACTCCACACCGTATTGATTGGAGGAGCACCACACAAAATGGTGTCAATACTTTTGAGTTAGCCCAACTGCATACCGAAGTAGACAAGCACCAGCGCCTTGAAAGACACTGCCGCCACCCCTCCTGCACTAGATGTAGCCCTCCACACATGCAACATCTGTGGATGGCCCTGCCAGTCCCATATCGGCTTCTTCAGTCACCCCAAAGCTCACCAACAAAGGTGACATCTTTAATAACTCCTTTCATTGCATCATAGCTGGATGATCATACTCGATTCCAAGTGACAGCAAGGTAGTGTGGGTGTGTGTGAACTGTATTGATTTCAGATATTGGATAAATTTGGGGAATGAATAAGGTGTACAGTACACTTATACTTTTTAATTTATTTTTAGTTATATTGGTAACATCCTTTATTTCCGACTTTCCTTTTTTCAGTAAAATCGTACCTGCCAACTGAATTACAAGTGAATGCGCCCAAGGGGTCAACCAAGGTGCTGACAGGCGTGACAAAGAAAACAACAAATACAGTGATGATGGTTAAGTCTGCAGTGCTGAACAAACAGAGACCTGAAGACAGAGTGGAGGTTAGTGGCATTATTTGGACAGTAATAATTGACGGTGGTGATTAGTGCTATTATTTATAATCATTTAGAACTAAAATCACGGTGAATTACTGTGTCTGTGCTGGTCTAATTATTTAACTCCATTACATAGTTTGTTTGTGACTACTGTATGCCCAACCTTATGTAGTATATGTGATGAGACCTTTAACAGGTCTTTTATGGGAAGAAGCTTTGTCTACTGTAATAGTATTTAAAAATTTTCCAGTGATAGTTAAATATACAGTGCTTTGATGAGCACAGCAAGTTATTTCAGATGACAGAGGGTTTACATTTTTTACCTGTCTATATTTGATCACTACCAGTGAGTTTAACTTTCTTGGTGTGTAAGGCTTTTGAGGCAATGATGTCACACCTGATACGGTAGATTGGTCCAATAGATTTACAACTTGAAATTCTTTTTTACAATGTGGAAGAACTTTTGCTCTCATGCAAAAGGCTTCTTTGAAGGTTATTGGTGATGTTATATGTACTAATATTATGTATTGGTCCTTTTTGCTCACTTTTGAGTATCAGCTTAATCATTGTATACCCTGTGTTGTTGCCTTTCATGCTTTCCAAGGATAATGTAACAACTAGCAGCAGCATAGACTTGCCAGTAATGAAGGAGGTCAAGGTAAAAATGCTTTCTATCCAAATATCAGCTTCCATTACACTCAACTCCTCCAACACTTCATTTAATACTTTTCTTATGATATTTCCTACATCTGTGCTTCCCATCTGTTCATACTATTGTAGAACCCCACGCTTTATCAGTAACTACTGGATATTATCAGCTCTATAAATTGCTTTTACTGTTGACATTACTCATTGTCCATTCTCCTTACTTGATGTCCATGTGTAGAATACAGCTACTCCTCGACTTACGACCACCCAGACATACAGCTGCTGCAGTCGAATAAAATATTTTTAAAGTTACGCATTTTAAGAGTCCCGAAGTTAGTGATCGTGCTGTGTACTGACAAAATTTTCGTTTGTAATTCCCTTTAAAATGGCTGGCAAGCTTAAAAGTGAGAGTTTTCGTGGTGCTGAGAAGAAAAAGAGACACCCATTTTAGATTTTCTATGTATCATTTTCGCATTTTCGACTTACGACCTGGTCGTCGGTCCCTAACCCCGTCGTAAGTCGAGGACTGACTGTATGTTAAGATAAAAATATGTATCCTTGCCTTGCATTCTTGCAGTCATTGTTTTTGGTTGTCCATGTTTCACTGCCACACATGAAATACTTAGTACATATGACTCTTTTCGTGTGAAAATCCTGAGAGTAATTTAGTAATTTTTTTAACCAAAAGTTTTTAGAAGTGTAAAATTTAGCAAGTTTGTAAGTAAGGAATTGGTATTTTTCAAACTTCAATAAGCGTGAATAAGATAGTATTGAGTAACAGTAAAATGTCATTTAAGGTGTTTGTGCTAAGGTCATGTTGGTTGAGAGGGGTGGATTACCTTAGTGTTTTAATGCATTCTTGCCTCAATATGCACACACACACACACACACACACACACACACACACACACACACACACACACACACACACATATATATATATCAGCTTCCTCTAGTTCAAACTGGTATTATTTATTTAATATAGTATACAGTATTTGAAAGTTACCACCTTCTATAAACTTACCATGTTTCAGGATGAAGACACAATGATGGATGAGGACACAAGTAACTTAACTAATACCAGAAAAAGAAGTCGTGGTGGCTTTAACTTGGAGGATGAGTTAGACAATGATGACAGCACAACACTAACCAGTGTATTGCCCACACCCACCGTTCCATCTGCATCCTCAACAGGACCTGCAAGCAAGAGAGGGCGTATCGGAGGAGCTATTGATGCGGCATCCAATAGGATATCTAGGTAAGAGGTGTTGGGCTGACCAACAGTTTTAGTTAGGCCTTTTAGAAGTAATTATTGTAAAGAAGACATTCATCTGACAATCAGAACAGTTCATTTTTATGGCTGATTAGGTTTTTGTTATGTCATCATCTGTTCCAAGACAAATTGTTTTGTTTTTGTTTTTTTTGCATTCTCACTACTGGTAATTATTGAGATTCAATTTTTTAGTTAATATAAATTTTCAAAAGCATTCCATATTAATTTAATGCTACATTGTTGACTTTTCAAAAGTTAACAAAAATTAGTCTAAAGTCTTCTTGAATCCTGTGAGCCAAAGAAGGTACTACCAACCATAACTTTGTAACTTTGAAATGTATTTCAAGATTCCTCAGGTATTCCTCGGTTAACTCAGTAGATACGTTCCTAAAAAGTATCATGCTTAACTAAAACATGGAAAGTGATATAAAAACTTTGTATGGCCACCAAACTCTGAGACCTCTTTAGCTTGCACTGGTGCTCAGTCCATAGGGACAACAATCTCTTAATTTTTTCTATTATGAATACTGTAATCCTACGTGATATACTGTCATAGCACTAATTAATATACCACTCTTGACACTGTTCTTAACCACTTGTGTATGGTGTCCTCTCTCTGCTGAATAATATCACCTGGTATTACTATGTCCTTATAATAAAGGGGTTAATTTCATATACATTTGCACAAACTGTACTCAAGGTTACTTTGTAATTGCCAGTTGGAGCAGAAGTGAGTAAAGTACTGTAGTGGGGATGCAAAAACACTTTATCATAGACACTATAGTCTATCGATAGTGCTAAACTGGAAACAGATTACTTTGTGACAGGAGTTACCAAATTGGTGAATAATTTTAAAATTAAATTGTGTTGTGAGAAAGCATGTTAACCAAAAAAAATGATAAGTACATGCTTATCACTGAAAGTGCTCTACATGTCTTCCTGGAAAATAAAACACTCTAAAAAATGCTCTGAAGGAGGTCAGTATAATTCATGACAGCCCAGTTTCTTACATATGAGCTGAATATGGGGGCATCACTGGGTGTTGGTAACAGCATTAATAATGATGCATTACAAGTGGACCTCAATAGTCGATGAATGTCAAAGCCAGGGTTTTGACTTTTTATGGTGACTTATGATGTATTTGAACTTAATTGTATTTTAGTGATTAATGGTCTAGGCCTGAAACATGCTGAGGTGATGTCTGGGCAGTCCCATAATAAATTGCATTAATTAAAGACAGACTTGTATTGAGTATTCCATTGACTAGCAACTCCCAATTAATGGCACTATTAGAGAAAGGGTATTTTCTGGCAAATCCCACAATTAGCAGCATGTTCAATGGCTGTGTAGTTGACCACAGACCACATTCCACCGTTATTTTATGACAGTCAAACAATAATTATCCTGTAAAACAATATATAATAATCATATAATAATAAAGATAAAAAAAGATGGAAGTTCGGTGGTGGCTCGTTTGCTTGGGCTGAAGATTGAACTTCTTAACCCCTATGTGGCTTCCATATAATAAACCTAGACACAGTACCTCCCTCTGGTTACCAAAAGGTTAATTTCTGTTTCAGCTGTTAAAGCTAGGTAATGATGTCTTAAAATCATGTGAAATGGTTAGAAAGTGGCAACGCAAGCCTCAAGTTGGAAGAATCATGGGAATTGTTATGTAGCGCCTTCATTACTATGGGAACCAGCCCCAGCATTTTAAATCCAACATTGCCGCGATCTTTGCATTACCTGGGAGTCATATTACTCTGAATTTATATTTATGTCACTTTATTTTGTTATTTCCACCTCTTTTTTTTTTTTTTTTTTACTAGACTTGTGATTATATAATATTGGATAGATAGACGAATAGAAAAATGGAATTCAAACAGTTTTTTTTTTCTTGCGTGTGGCAATTCTAAATGGAATGTATTGTACCGAATTTGATAGCTAGACGGTTTATTTTTCATTTATCATTTCACCATTTGTCAGCTTACAAACTGTTCATGTAGTCAGTCTGTTGTTTATTATGACTGTACAATGAGAGAGAATGGTCTTTTGAATCGTATTTTGCTACATAGTTTGTGAAATCATTGAAGCTGGACAAGAAATTAACAAATCTCTTTGTTATCACTTTGTACAAGCTGATAAATGAGTTATAAATGAAGGTTAACCAATTTTTAATGTAGCCTAGATGACATTCCTCCCCTGGGTGCTGTATCATATTTCACCCTCTAGGCACTTAATAACTAGAAAGTTATCATTTATCTCATAAAATACAGATAAGATAAATTTTTCCGTACGTGTAGAGTACTAATTTAGATACAGTTGTCTCTGCTCTTGGTTTTGGGTTCAAAATATGCATAATTAACTTCCAATGTCAACATTTCAATGTTAAGTTTATTTACTCAAAAAAACATACAGCATAGGTTTTTTCCATTTTTAATACCTATAGTAAATCATAGGTTATTGCACAAACTTGCATGTAGGTGTCTGTATATAAGTTCGCACAGCCAAAAAAGTATCTTTGCAATTTTGAATTAGACATTATGACACAATGGACAGAGAATTTTGACAACCCTATTGAGACATCAGGAGTTGCTTTGTTCATTTTGAAACTCATTGGACCCTTCCATAATAATATGGTAATTATTTGATTCTCTGTACACAAGTTGAGAAAGGTTTTTACATGTGTACTCTACAGTCTTTATATTTTTCTTACTGTGTTTTTTGTTTTTTCTATCTGCAGTTATCTACAGAAAGAGACAAATGGCAAGACGTGAGTAACCAGTCCAACAGAAAGCTAAAACAGACTTGTTATGAGAATGCAAAGGGTTGTAGTTGTGCTTAGAGTACCCAGATAGGACAGAAACAGCATCACTTGTACACTGTAAGCCTTAGGTGTGGCTTTCAGGCATAATTAGTGTCCATACCAAAGTTTAGGTATATTTCCATGCCAGGTCTAATTGAGGAAAGTATACTGGTCAGAAGTGGGAACAAATGTGTAACCTGTTGAAGAATGGCAGTCTTAGAAGGTAGTCGAAGGTGTTGTACATATAAAAGTTAAAGAGTTGGCTGAGAAGGTGGGATATGTCGAGTGTATTTTTATTTATTTACTTGTTTTTCTTCATAATTTGAGGAGAAGAATGGTCCTAAGTCTCATATGAATGAAATGCACTGTCATTAAAAAGTAAGATGTGTTTAGATTAGTGTCCCTCATAATTATGGAGCCTGGTTGGACTTATTGCCTTCATGTACATTTTACATCAAATGGTTGGGAAACATGATTCCATTGGGTTTTACTGTGGTGTCTTTGGCAGACAGTGAGCAGCTCCTTTGCATCTTTTAGTTGTTATTATTATTTATTTTTGTCAAAACAGATATGATTTATATCAGGCTTCAGTTCCATGCCATGTTTAAGTGTTTCAACTGTGTGAAAAGTAATTATGCATTTGTTTAATGTCCTCTGTAAAGTTTTCTTCTCAGGTATTGCAGTAATAATAGATAGCTTACTCCATAAAAATGTATTTATTGGGTGTGGCTGCAACAACTTTAAAGGCTAATTTAATGACCAGAGATCCACAAATATTGAAGAAAAAAATTTAAGCTTGACATACCAATTTGTAGATTGCCTCTGCTAACACTGTCCTGTAGGTTAGCTTCACAGACAAAGGAAAATCTTAATTTTTTTTCTTCTTCTCCATCAGTTGATGGTGACTGGAAAAAATATTTAATTTTCTTATATTGAAAAACATAAATGTTTTACCCCCATCTGTTAGGGCATAATAGACATAGTGCACAGTATAGTGTGAGGCAGACATAGTATACAGTATAGTGTGAGGCAGACATACATTTAGTACACAGTATAGTGTGAGGCAGACATACTGTAGTACACAGTATAGTGTGAGGCAGACATAGTACACAGTATAGTGTGAGGCAGACATAGTACACAGTATAGTGTGAGGCAGACAGTACACAGTATAGTGTGAGGCAGACATAGCACACAGTATAGTGTGAGGCAGACAGTACACAGTATAGTGTGAGGCAGATAGTACACAGTATAGTGTGAGGCCACCTCTGGGATTCAGATTGTAATTTTTTCCAAGAATGCACGTGGGTATGCTTGAGTGTGCTTGTACTGTAGGCATACATGTAATAAGTGTACATGTTTGTGAGGAATTATGTGAGGGTCTGGCTCAGTGTGTGTGTGTGTGCTCATATGTTAAAAGAAATGACTGTATGTGGTCATTGGTTCCCAAATTGTAAACTTTTTTTTATGTCAGTGAAGGGGGCATTAGAATGAATGAATATGAGCAGGGGCCAGAGGAACATTAGACCAAAATTATGCTGGATATATAGATTTTATCTAAATTTGGTTTGTGGACAAAAGGAATCAGTGTATTTGACAGGTGTGGAGTTAACTTACGTGCCGTACACTTTCTGGACCCAGTGGTTAAAGGCAACATTACAAATTAACTCACTTTCAAATTATTATTATTTTTTTTTTTCTCATTCTTAAAAAAAAAAGATATATTTTTTATCGACTACAAGTTTGTTGTAATAATTCTGATGAAGGCTCTTTTGTGTGTGACGTAACTTGCAAAACATTCAGAGATTTTATTTTTATTTTATTTCATTTCACTTTCCTTTAGTGTGGTTATTACTAGACTCTTGAATACATACATTATCAGGTTTCGTGCATCTTCAAGGTCTCTTAATAGTAAATGTTTTGTTGATACCAAAATAGGGTAAAGAGGTTGAGGTGGTTGCTTCCCCCTAGTCATCAGTAGTATTCTTGGCTGTAACATTTATGTATAAACTACTCTTGCCACAATTTTGTGCCTTACTCAACACAGTATGGGTTTTTTTTTTAGTCATCAGAAAATGGGTTAGACCTCCAAGTTGGTGTTGGAGGAATGAGGTGACTTCTTTGATTGGTTAGTTCAGTTCACGTTGCTGTAGTATAAGTATTGTATTTCAATTGAAAACTGATTGGCATTTGGTGAACTAAGACTATTGAATATCATCTGGTTTCGTAAGATGAAACAAATCGGGCTTTTAATGACTACTTGATATTTTTGGAATAGATAACAAATTCAGGCTTTATATTTCTACCTTAACTTTTCTTGTGAGATGAAATGATATATAGAGTATGTCGGGTAATTTTTCTCACAAAATTCAGATCTAGAAACCTGGAAGTACTACCTAGTGTTAATGTATTGTAAAAAGCATGGCAAGTTTTATTGAATGTTATTATTGTTACCCCTCCCCTCCCCCAACTCCATTCTTCTAAGCCTTGGCTCAGTATGGTGAAGGGTGACTTGTGAGCCTCATTGAATGACTCATCTTTTATCTAGGCTGGTTCAGACTGTTACTGAAACAAAATATTCATCTACTTAGGTTACAAAAATGATTGAATTGATCATAGTTAATCTGTAAACACATATGATTCATTTCATTATGCAATTACATTGGTTTGTTAGGTATTAAGTTAGTGATTTACTTTATGTAAGCCACCAAGCCCTTGATCTCCATCCTATTCAAATCAATTTTGGGCTTTATTCTTATAAATTTAGTGAAAACCCTGTATTTATAGTCTCCATCCCTCATTTTATCCAGGACACTGCTGGAGTCAAGACTGAATGCATACACATATTCTCCTTTCATTCATCATACATTCATTACTTCATCTGTAGTAGATCCCAAATTACACAAGCCAGTATCAAACATTAGCAGCATATGCTTTCCTAAAAATCACTCTTGATCTCCCTGTCACATTCTTGCACACTCACTGCTACTTTCCGGATTTCCTCCCCTCTCACTTCTAATGCATCCATAAGGTCCATCAACGTCCACTGAATCATACATACAAATATACCATCTCTCCCTTCCCATTCTCTCATACAACTTAAGCATATCTAGACCTACACTTTACCCAACACTTCAACAACTTCTCCTTTTCTCTACATCCAGTTCATCTCACAAACCTCTCTCAAGGATGTTATTTGTCACTCACATCACTTCCATTGTCCATGTTTCACACCCCATATAATAATAATATTAATGTCATCTCAGTAGTTCTCTTGTACATCCCCATCTTTGCCTCCTTTGATATGGCTCTTTTTCTATACTGTACCGGTATACCTATCAGACCACTTATTACATTTTTTGTTCTTATACTTCTGTGTAGTTTAGTTTGTTATTTATCATTCCATTTTTGTCAACACATCCACTCCTAGACATCTTAAAATACTCTCCTTCATTCTGTCTACTTATATACATCACCTGACTCTAGTTCATATTCACAATTAACTTTTACCAAGTGCACACACATTACCAAATTTTTTCACACACATTTGTATATTTTCATCCAAATTGTCCATTAGAGCAGTATCATCTTTAAATAACAAGTTGCTCATCACCATCCCTCTACATCTTTTATCATTTATTATCAGCCAAGAAAGATTGCAGCATTGAGAGCTACCATCAGGTGAACGCGACAAACCTACTAAGCATGGAAAATGGCCATAAAAAGATGATGGCATCTCTCTTCTTCACTCTTGCATTTACCTCTCCTGGTACCCGAGCCATGAGATCATTTAACCACAGTGACATTACCTACTCTTGATGAAATCCTACTTTCATTTGGAACCAGTTTACTTCTCCCTGAAAACTCAAAAGTGCATACAGTACTTCACTCTCCTAGTAAAACCTTCCATCTAAGTACAGTAAAACCTTGAAAACTCGGCACGTATGGGGCTCTAGCCTTCCTGAATTATCCCAAATTCCGACTTATTGAGGCCCCCCCCCCCAAAAAATAAATACATACGTATACACATTATTACTAATTTTAAAAAATTAACACTGAACACTGCAGGCGAAGAATGAAGCATTGTAGTAGACAAGAGGCATGGTAAATAATACAGGGAAATGGTATGTGATGCAGGGAAATGGTAGGTGATGAAGGGAAAACGCTACATAAAGAGTAAACAGTGCGGCACTAATGTATACAGTACAACGTCAGTATAACATGAGATACGTTCCAAGAAAGGTCGCACTAAATCGAAGTGTTGTTTCAGTGGAATAATTTTGTTTGGTACTTGAGAGAAACACAAAATAATAAAAAGACTAAGAGTCTACCCAGATGCACCTCGGCCAATCTCCTAGAATAAACAAAACATTGTTTTTTTTGCAGTATTATCTTAAAACAAACACTCATAAATCAACACAGCTAAAATTATGAGACGTGAAATTTTCTGTTTACTAGTGATCAGCTGATGAGACGATTGGGGGTGGGGTAGAGGTGAGGTGATATGTTTGACAGTTGATGCCAAGGTCTAGTACAGTGGTTCCCCGGTTGACGAATAGTTCGAGTAACGAAATTTCGCTTAACGAATTACCTCCCATAAGGATCTTCAGTTCGGTTAACAAACAAAACTTCGATTATCGAAATCCTTACGACAAACACATTTTGTTGTGAGCATCAGCTGCTGGGCTAGTCTACCAATTCAATAATTTGTTCTATGTTTACATTTGTCCAGTGGAGTAAATATCAAGAAAGTTGTGCTCTAATATTTTTGCATTTTTTTTTTTTTTTAATTAGTCATTTTAAAATATACTTAACATATTGACAATATATGCAGTACAGGGAACTAGTATTTTGTGCACCCATAACCCTCTTGACTCACCCACCAGGCGTCAGTGTGGCTTTGTTTACAGTGGAGCGAACATCGATTTTGTTGGTGTCTTGAATATTTTTGCATTTTTACATTAAAATTATTGGTCATTCCAAAATTTAGTTAACATATTGATAATATATAGTGCAGTGTTGATTTAAATAAAATAATCTTGAATTACACCTAGTGAACTTAAAATTTTATTGGTGAAATTACTGTATCAAGCATGGGTCCCCTGAAAGGTGATTTCTCCTCCATCCCCACTTCCTTCTCTTCTCCTCCACCCCCACTTGTAATTCCCATCATCATCATCAACCAGGAACCTTCTACATACACACCTCAAAGTAAGTGTACTTTACTGCATTGTTTTTTTTACTTTGTATGTACTTTTCTGTGAGCTGGAACCAATTACCCAATATCCCATTGAAACAATGGATTCGGTTAACGAACGACTGTGGAACAAATTGTATTCGTTAACCGAGGGACCACTGTACTTATTTATTTATATGTCCTTAAGA